CTCAAAAGTCAAACCAGCACAGGATGTACTCTCACACTAGCATTGCACAAGATGCACTCTCACTCTAGCATTGCACAAGATGCACTCTCACTCTTTCAATGCACAGGATACACTCTCACTCTTGTAATGCACAAATGCACTCTCATTCCTGCAATGCACAGGATGCACTCTCACTCTTGCAATCCACAGGATGCACTCTCACTCTTGCATTGCATAGGATGCACTCTCACTCTTGCAATGCATAGGATGCACTCTCACTCTTGCATTGCACATGATGCACTCTCACTCGTCCAATGCACAGTATGCACTCTCACTCTTGCAATGCACAGGATGCACTCTCACTCTAGCATTACACAGGATGCACTCTCACTCTAGCATTCCACAGGATGCACTCTCACTCTTGCAATGCACAAATTCACTCTCATTCTTGCAATGCACAAGATGCACTCTCACTCTTGCAATGCACAGGATGCACTCTTACTCTTGCAATGCACAGGATGCACTCTCACTCTTGCAATGCACAGGATGCACTCTCACTCTTGCAATGCACAGGATGCACTCTCACACTTGCAATGCACAGGATGCACTCTCACTCTACCAATGCACAGGATGCACTCTCACTCTTGCATTGCACATGATACACTCTCACTCTTGCAATGCACATGATGCACTCTCACTCCTGAAAAGCACAAGATGCACTCTCACTCTTGCAATGCACAGGATGCACTCTCACTCTTGCATTGCACAGGATGCACTCTCACTCTTGCAATGCACAGGATGCACTCTCACTCTTGCAATGCACAGGATGCACTCTCACACTTGCAATGCACAGGATGCACTCTCACTCTAGCAATGCACAGGATCCACTCTCACTCTTGCATTGCACAGGATGCACTCTCACTCTTGCAATGCACAGGATGCACTCTCACTCTTGTAATGCACAGGATGCACTCTCACTCTTGCATTGCATAGAATGCACTCTCACTCTTGCAATGCAAAGGATGCACTCTCACTCTTGCATTGCACATGATGCACTCTCAGTCGTCCAATGCACAGGAGGCAATCTCGCTCTTGCAATGCACAGGATGCACTCTCACTCTAACATTGCACAAGATGCATTCTCACTCTAGCATTGCACAAGATGCACTCTCACTCTTGCAATGCACAGGATGCACTCTCACTCTTGTAATGCACAAATGCACTCTCATTCTAGCAATGCACAGGATGCACTCTCACTCTTGCAATGCACAGGATGCACTCTCACTCTTGCAATGCACAGGATGCACTCTCACTCTTGCATTCCATAGGATGCACTCTCACTCTTGTAATGCACAGGATGCACTCTCTCTCTTGCATTGCACATGATGCACTCTCACTCGTCCAATGCACAGGATGCACTCTTAGTCTAGCAACGCACAGGATGCACTCTCACTCTTGCATTGCAGAGGATGCACTCTCACTCTTGCAATGCACAAGATGCACTCTCACTCTTGCAATGCACTGGATGCACTCTCACTCTTGCAATGCACATGATGGAACTGATGGAGGTTTAACTTTTGAGGATTCTCGAAAGTCAAGCTAGCACAAGATGCACTCTCAATTTAGCATTGCACAAGATGCACTCTCATTCTAGCATTGCACAGGATGCACTCTCACTCTTGCAATACACAGGATGCACTCTCACTCTTGCAATGCACAAATGCATTCTCATTCTTGCAATGCAGAGGATGCACTCTCACTCTTGCAGTGCACATGATGCACTCTCACTCTTGCAATGCACAAATGCACTCTCACTCTTGCGACGCACTGGATGCACTCTCACTCTTGCAATGCACAGGATGCACTCTCACTCTTGCAATGCACAGGTTGCACTCTCACTCTTGCAATGCAGAGGATGCACTCTCAGTCTTGGAATAGACTGGATGCACTCTCACTCTTGCATTGCAGAGGATGCACTCTCACTCTTGTAATGCACAAGATGCACTCTCACTCTTGCAATGCATAGGATGCACTCTCATTCTTGCAATGCACAGGATGCACTCTCACTCTTGCATTGCACAGGATGCACTCTCACTTCTGAAAAGCACAAGATGCACTCTCACTCTTGCAATGCACAAGATGCACCCTCACTCTTGCATTGCACAGGATGCACTCTCACTCATACAATGCACAGGATGCACTCTCACTCTTGCAATGCACAGGATGCACCCTCACTCTTGCAATGCACAGGATGCACTCTCTCTCTTGCATTGCACCGGATGCACTCTCACTCTTGCAATGCATAGGATGCATTCTCACTCCTACAATGCACGGGATGCACTCTCACTCTTGCAATGCACGGGATGCACTCTCACTCTTGCAATGCACAGGATGCACTCTCAGTCTTGCAATGCAGAGGATGCATTCACACTCTTGCAATGCACACGATGCACTCTCACTCTTGCAATGCACAGGATGCACTTTCACTATTGCATTGCACAGGATGCACTCTCACTCTTGCATTGCACATGATGCACTCTCACTCTTGGAATTCACAGGATGCACTCTCACTCTTGCAATGCAGAGGATGCACTCTCACTCTTGCAATGCACAGGATGCAACTAATAATATCGTGTTTGAAGAAGTTTTTGAGATGTCTCAAAACACTCTTAAAGAAGATGATGCACTCTCACCTAGCAATGCAGAAGATGGAACTGATGGGTACTTTAAATCTGCATGAGACGAGTTTTGAGGCACCTTGAATCACCGACACGTCTTGAGATAGCAATGCATGTGATGAGGTAATAGCAAGAAAAAACTCGCCCCAGTGGCAGCAACACCATGCCCACTCACCCCACTTGTAGTAGCGCCCTCAAGTCTGATCCATCTCACAGGTACTGTCCAGCTCACAGCCCAACGACGCACAGGCAGGATCTGCAGCAACCGAGGTGCATAGAAAAAGGGGTAACAAACATAGATATGGGTATGCCACCTCACAGGTGCCATCCGGCCTACAGCGCAACGGTATATGGGCAGGATCTTCTGTAGCACAGAGGAGAGAGGGTCGCATGAGAGACTGAAGGAGGAGCCAATCACAAGAAGAAAAAACGCGCCTAAAGTTGTCGTAAGGACATCAGTATGCCCCCAGGACATGATTCATAATTTAGGGCAAGATTATGTGGATGGCGTGTCAATACATTGCAAATATGTAGGAAAGAACAAACAAACAAACAAATAAAGAAACAAAAAGACTTGCTATGTGAGGAAAGCATCGCTTCGAATCAAGCAGCATCAGAACCACACCTGTCACACACCCAAAAGAATGTTGTTAACCCGAATGGCATCACGCGATTCACAGATTACGCCCTTCGGAAACACGTCCTCAAAATCACGTTTTTCAGAATCACGCCTTCCCTTTTGTACGTTCGTCACCTGTGGTCACTAGTGGTGTTGTTTGGTCCCCATACGCAGTCGCTGGTGGTGCTGTTTGGTCGCCATACACAGCAGTCAGCATGCGTTGACGTGTTATGCGCTTCACCGTATCGTCGCCATGCGCCGCCGCCATCATCTGAACTGCTGCAAGGAGGACAATGGAGTGGGTGTGCAGACGAGAAAAGAGAGCAGACATGAGAGAGCAGAGATGAGAGAGCAGAGAGGGAAGAGAAGAGAGGATCAAGTTGAAAACGAAGAAGTCGAAAACTGAAGCCACCTAGAAGGAGGGAGCAGGGAGGCATGGTGCTTACTGGCACAAGGCAAGCACTTACCATATGTTAAAGCTCTTTGCAGTAATGAGAGAAAGCAATGAGAGAAGGCAACGAGAGAAGGCAATGAGAGAAGTCAATGACAGGCGGCGAGCGGACTAGCCGCAGATGAGGGCAATGGCGAGCAGCAGGATGCCGGCAGGAGAGGCGCGCATCGCCCTCATGGTGCTTATGTGGTGGGGGTCTTGCGGGAGACGCGGCGGAAGAGGCGGAGAGAGAGGCGGCGGGAGAGGCGAGAGGGGAGGCGAGCGATGAGGAGCTTCAAGCGGCTTTGTGCTGTCAGTCATGTGCAAGTCACGGCGGGGTAGGGTGGGAAGTGATTTTTGAGACGTCTCAGAAACAACTTACATCTCAAAAATTCTGTTGGTTTCACATACGACATTCATACGGGATGTAATGTATTTGGTATAGTTCTGGTAGTACAATTTAGAGATACTAAATAGCCGCGTATGCATAAAGTAACGTCCGGAAGTATACCATAAAGTAATGAGGAAATGCATATCAAATGTTTAACTGTGTGATAATAAATTGCATCAATTTTCAGAGCAAAAAAAAAAAAGAGTTGTACACAAATATTTTGATACCCAGAAGGTGTTATTTCTTTAATCTACTCGATAATTTTCACATGCACACAGAATAAGCTCAATGTAGATCTGGGATATATTAGCATTTACATACAGCCAGGGCATACATTGAGACAAACCGACTAACATGCAATAGACACTGGTAGGACCCAGCGTAAGTCCAACCCATTATACACGTCCTACACAACTGCTTCACACATTCACAAAAAGGGTTAGCACTAACTGTTAAATTTTGAACAACGTACATGTGATGCTCTCTTGTTAAAACGCCAGAAATCCTGTATGCCAGATAATAAATGGCACGCTGCGCAACCAACGAAGCCGCAATCGCAGTCCCCATAGGCGCTGCAAGTGGCATGTTTACGAAGGGCAGTAATTAGAATCACGACACACATGGCTGAAGGAGCCGACGAAGTGATGGGTGTAACAATCATATGCCTGCAGGGCCCAAAATTGGTTTAGGCCCACCCTACAAATCAGGGTTCCAGCCCCTCTTCACCCTGACCCATTGTGTAAAATTTTCCATACCCTATTTGCATCAGGGTAAATCAAAGATTTTGGCATGGTAGCCTGATTTGAGCAAGGTATTTCTACAGATAGCCTGTTTCCCATACTACTTTGCCTCGAACCTCACATGGCCTTTTCAGGGGAGATTCTCCCACACTTCGAGAAGCGCATGGCTGGTACAACTGCACTGCGACTGCAAGTTGATGCGTAGGACAGCAAGAAGCTGTCCTTAACGTGTCAGAACTATATGGTAGGCTCTAGTGGGGTAGACAATATGGGGTACAAATCTTTTAGGTTTTCATACTTGTACCCACCTACTTGCTAGTTTATTCATTCCTCGTTCTTATTCTCACATGGTATCAAAGCAGAATCGTTCCTAGGGCCCACCGAACGTTTCGCCTTGCCTTACCATTTTTTTTTTTTTTAGCTTCCCCTACAACCGTGCTGCCCCTGCAGCCGTGCCTGCCCCTGCAGCCGTGCCTGCGCCTGCAGCCGTGCCTGCCCTTGCAGCCCGTGGGCGCTGCCTCTGCAGCCGTACCTGCCCCTGCAGCCCGTGGGTGCTGCCCTTGCAGCCATGCGTGCCTCTGCAGCCTGTGGGAGCTGCCTGTACAGCCCGTGCACCGCCCTAAACCCCGCTCGTCGCGACGCCCCTGCGGGACCCGCGCGGCGTCCCCCCCCTGCTCGTCGCGGCGCCCCCCTGGGCGTCGTCCCTGCTCGTCGCGGTGCCCCCGGGGCGTTGCCCGTGCTCGTCGCGGCGCCCCCTGAGCGCCGTCCCTGCTCATCGCGAAGCCCCCGGGGCGTCGCCCCTGCTCGTCGCGGTGCCCCCTGGGCGCCGTCTTTGCTCGTCGCGACGCCCCCGGGGCTTTGCCCCTGCTCGTCGCGGTGCCTCCTGGACGCCATTCCTGCTCGTTGCAGTGCCCTTGGGGCGTCGCCTGTCAGGTCAGGGTCGGCCAGCTAGAATTCATTACAAGGCACACGAGGAAATGTGTGCCTCCCACTCCCCTCCCACTCCCCTCCCACTCCCCTCTTCCTCCTCCCCCTTCCCCTCCCTCAGATGGCAGGAGAACATCCGTGATTGGTGCATTTCCCGCCAGCTCCGGTGGGGCCACCGCATCCCCGCATGGTACGTCACCTTCAACCAATCAGACAAGGCTGCCGCCCGTGACTTCCCCGTCCGCGAATTCGGCGCATACAACACCAACTGGGTCGTCACCCGCACCGACGAAGACGCGCGCCGGGCAGGCGAAAAGAAGTTCCTGGGCAGGAAATTTGAGCTCGGGCGGGACCCGGATGTGCTCAACACGTGGTTTTCGTCGGGGCTGTTTCCATTTTCAGCGTTTGGGTGGCCGGAGGAGACGGCTGACTTCAAGACATTTTACCCAACCGCGCTGCTGGAGACGGGGCATGACACTCTGTTCTTCTGGGTCGCGAGAATGGTATTCATGGGGCTGAGACTCACTGGGCAACTGCCATTTAAGCAGGTGAGCGCGTGGAAAGGAGTGAAAAGTGGTTGCCAAGGTATTTGAAGGGATGAAAGGGATGTTTGAATGGTGCTATGGTTTTATACCGCGCTACTGGAGACGGGGCATGATATTCTCTTCTTTTGGGTCGCTAGAATGGTGTTTATGGGGCTTCGGTTGACCGGGCAGTTGCCCTTCAAGCAGGTGCGTGGGAGGCTCACTGAGGAATGGCTTGTTTGTGGTGTATAGCTATTGGAGGAGGTGTGACTACTTTCAAGGCGCCTCGAAACGTTTTTGTGGTCTATTGATGTTGTTCGAGCAGGTCTGTGTGACACAATCCCACCTCGCCCTGAACTTTTTCACTCTCCTCATCTATTCCCCCACGGGTCTACCTGCATGCCATGGTGTGCGATGCGCACAGGCGCAATATGTCCAAATCTGGGCAACGAGGTGACTTTCGAGTCGACTCAAAAGTGCACACGGGTGCAAGATGTCCAAATCCCTGGGCAGCGTGATCGACCCTTTGGAGGTCGCCACTCCTTGCAAACCCTCCTCCCTCTCGTTATATACTCCCCTATTCCCCCCCCCCCCCCCCCCCCCCATTCCCCCACAGGTGTATCTGCATGCCATGGTGCGCGACGCTCATGGCCGAAAGATGTGAAAGTCGCTGGGCAACGTGATTGACCCTCTGGAGGTGATCAACGGCATCTCCCTGCAGCAGCTGCAGGCGAATCTGGAGCAGGGGCACCTTGACCCCCGGGAGGTGAAGAAGGCCCAGGCAGGGTAGGCTGCGGATTTCCCCAATGGGGTCGCCGAGTGTGGGTGTGATGCTCTGCGCTTCGCGCTTGTCAACTATACTACTCAGGTATGTGCTTTCACAATCGCCGTGCAACAACTACAGCCTAGCCTAGAGGTGAACCATGAACCTGGAGCAGGGCAATATGGCTGGACCCGCGGGAGGTGAAGAAGGCCCAGGCAGGGTAGGCTACAGATTTCCTCAATGGGATTGCCGAGTGTGGGTGCGATGCCCTGCGCTTCGCCCTCGTCAACTACACGACACAGGTACGGGCACGATGCGTGGGTTCTTGAATGAACCAAAAAAAAAAAAATCGACAGCATCGCCTTGAGCAGGGCAGTCTGGACCCGCGGGAGGTGAAGTGAAGAAGGCGCACGCAGGGCAGCGCCGCGAACTTCCCCAATGGGATCGCCGAGGGCGGGTGTGATGCCCTGCGTTTTGCACTTGTCAACTACACCACTCAGGTGCGTTCTTTTGGGTCCCAGAGTGTGTGGTGGGGGGGTTTTTCCATGGGCTTGCAACAGCTGAAGGCAAATCTCGAAACGCATCTATTCTAGTGCAAGACCGTTGTTTTCTTTCCTTCCCCCACCCACACCTCTTGTCCCCCGTCCTTTCCCAACTTGTCCTCCTCCCTTCCCCAGTGGATGAACATCAATCTGAACATCGAGCAAGCTACCGCCTCTGGTGCTTTTGCCAATTCTCAAAGGCAACAAGCTGTGGTTGTGAGACGACTCACTCAATGCTCACCTACCCCATCTCCTCCCGTCTCCTCCCCTCTTCCGGCCCTCTCGTTTCTCTCTTCCCTTGCTCCTCCCTCCTCCCTCCTCCCTCCTCCCTCCTCCCTCCTCCCCTCAGTTGATGAACATCAACCTGGACATTCAGCAAGTGCACGGCTACCGCGTCTGGTGCAACAAGCTGTCGATGTGAGATGAAATGCAACTCACTCACCTGCTCAACCTCCCCGTCCCTTCCCCTCTCCGCCTTTCTGCACTTCCTCTCCCCCCCAGTGGATGAACATCAACCTGGACATTCAGCGAGTGCACGGCTACCGCCTCTGGTGCAACAAGCTCTGGAATGCAATCCGCTTCGCCATGTTTAACCTCGGGGACTCCTTCACGCCCCCGTCCGTGCTCCCCCAACCCACTTCCTCCGATTCCTCCTCCTCTCCTGCCCTCACTCCCATGCTCAACTTTGCCTTTTCTGCACCGCTCCCCCTGTCCTGTCGCTGGATTCTCTCGGTGCTGAATGTTGTGGTTACGCGTGCGGTAACTGCACTGGAGGGGTATGACCTGGCAGAGGCGACCAACGCGGCGTACGTGTGGTGGCAGTACCAGCTGTGTGACGTGTTCATTGAAGTGGCCAAGCCAGCTTTCAATGCAGCCGAAGGGGAGGAAGCCCTGAAGCTGAAGCAGGTGGGTGGGTGGTTGTTGCCAGACAGGGAGGAGGCCCTGAAATTGAAGCAGGTGGGTAAGTGCAGCTCAGCTGTGCACGCATGGTGGCAGTACCAGCTGTGCACGTATGGTGGTAGTACCAGCTGTGCGACGTGTTCATTGGAGTGGCCAAGCCGGCTTTCATGCCCTTCGTCACCCAGGAGCTTTGGCTTGTTTTTTTTTTTCCTCACCTCAATGCTTGACCTACTGCATCCCACTCCACCACTCTCCACCCCTCTCCATCCCCACTCTCCACAGCTCTCAGGTGACACGCGAAGTCCTCTGGGTGTGTCTGGACGTGTCCTACAGCTGCTGCATCCCTTCATGCCATTCGTCATGGAGGAGCTCTGGCTTCTTCGCTTCCCGCATCTCCATTCCATGTTGATCTCCCACCCTCCTCCACTCCTCTCCACCGCTTCCCAACTCTCTCCACCGCTTGCTATCCCTCTCCACCGCTCTCCTTCACTCTCAGGTGACGCGCGAAGTCCTCTGGGTGTGTCTCGACGTTGGCCTCCGTCTGCTCGACCCCTTCATGCCATTCGCCACGAAGGAGCTCTGGCCTTTTCTTTCCCCTCACCTCCATGTTGGACTCTCACTACCCTCCACCCGTTTCCAATTCTCTCCACCTCTTCTTACTCCTCTCCACCCGGCTTAAATGCTCTCCACCCCCCAGGTGACTCGTGAGGTCCTCTGGGTGTGTCTAGACGCTGGCCTCCGGCTGCTGCACCCGTTCATGCCATTCGTCACGGAGGAGCTCTGGCAGTGCCTGCCCAAGCCAGCGGACTACTCGTGGCCGTCCATCATGCTCGCACCTTATCCTTCGCCCGTCAAGGTAAGGAAAAGCAGCTCTCACCCGTTAGAAGAATCACCAGCGCGATCCATGTCAGTTAAAAGCACTCACTGCACCCCTTCATGCCATTCGTCACGGAGGAGCTTTGGCAGCGCCTGCCCAAACCCGCCGACTACTCGTGGCCCTCCATCATGCTCGCCCCCTACCCCTCGCCCGTCAAGGTACGCGAAGCAGAAGAATCCCTTCCCACTCGGTCAAGTCAGCAGCCTATCACTCTCACTGCTGCATCCCTTCATGCCATTCATCACGGAGGAGCTCTGGCAGCGCTTGCCCAAGCCAGCCGACTACTCGTGGCTGTCCATCATGCTTGCCCCCTACCCCTCGCCCGTCAAGGTACGCGAAGCAATGTCAATGTGTGGTCCCTCGAATGGTCTTTATAATAATGATAGGCGAGTACAGTTGAGGTAAAGAGAGATCAGATCTACCTATTACTGTCAAGTCAACGTAGATCCACGAGCTTTCTTGCTGTTGAGGTCGGACAGCGCTGCATGACTTTCATTGACGATCTCTACATGTGATGTTTCCTTTCCCCGCTTGACAGATCCTCTCCCACACTTTCACCCCTATTCACGCATTTGCACCCCTCTTCATGCTTCTGCATCCCTCTTCACGCCTCTCCACCCCTCTTCACCACACTTCACTCACCAACAGGAGAAGGCAGAGCTAGAAGCAGAGGCAATGATGGCAACGGCAGAAAGCGCAATTCGCTCCATCCGCTCCCTGCGCATGGCGTATGCCCTGCAGCCCATGCAGCAGCCCACCACGTATGCTCAGTGCAAGTCTTGTGAAAGAACGAGGGATGAATGAACTAGCAAGCAGAAGGGTACAAGTAGGAAAACCTAAAATTGTTGTACCCCATATTGTCTACCCCACTACAGCCAACACAGACTATAGCATATAAGTTTAACACATCCCCATAGGCAAAGTGGGGGAGAACAAGAGGTCACAAGACCAGTCAAGCAAAGCAAAGCAAGCTCAGGGTGGATCACAACGTCACCACATATTCCGAGCACAAGAGCAAGGCCACAAAGCCACTTCACATGCAAGATCATATATTGAGGTAAACAAGCAAGTGCAGGTATAGAAAGATCACAGTACAAGCAAGGTCAAGAAGTGAGCAAGTGAGGCCAAGTAGGCACAAGACCTAGCATCGTACAGAAGCGCTGATGATCACAAGGCAGAAGTGCCTTGGTAAAGATATCAGCAGTGTTGGCCTCAGAGGCCACGTAAGCAAGGCACAGCTGACCACGCTGTTGCAGCTCACGAGCAAGGAAGTAGCGAAGAGCAATGTGCTTCGTTGTGTGCTCCAGTCTGTGCTCCCGACACAAGGCGAGCATGGCCTTGTTGTCTACGTACAGAACTGGAGGAGAACGAGGCGGCTCTCCTAGGTCAGTCAGCAGGTAGGTGAGCCAGCGTAGCTCCTGTGCAACCATGGCCCCCGCATAGATCTCAGCCTCACAGCTGGAGCCGAGAACAGAAGACGAGCGGGTAGACCGCCACGAAACAGAGCCGGAACCAAGGCTGAAGGTGTAACCCTGTGACGACCGCTACGTAGCCTGGTCGTCAGCCCAAGAAGCATCTGCGTGACCTTTGAGGACCACTGAACGTCGCCCTCCAAGCACTAGCCCCATGTCCGACATACTGCACAAGTAGCGCAACACCCTCTTCGCTGCAGCCATGTGCTCTACTCGGTGTCTCCCAGGAGCAACATAGCATGCCAAGATGCTAAGAGGGTATGCAAGGTAAGATCGAGTGCAAGTCATCAGGTACATGAGGTAGCCAACAAGCTCTGGGTACGGGCCACTCGGCTCTACTGACTCATCTAAAGGCAGAGCTGAGAGCGAGTGGCGAGTAGAAAGAGGAGTGGCTTGAGGCGAGGAGTACGTGAAGTCGAAGCGCTGAAGGACCTGCTGCACCATGTGTGACTGAGTCAGACTAATGGTGCGCTGTGCTCTGTCCCGGGTGATCTGCAAGCCAAGGTAGCTGCGCAATTCACCCAGGTCTGTACACGTGTGTCTCTTCTGCACCTCAGACTTCACGTGGGCGAGTCCAGCAGTGTCAGCAGTAGAAAAGACCAAGTCGTCGACGTACACGAGGATGTAGAACGGCGGCAAAGAGGTGTCGGTGCGTGGAAACAGCGACGGGTCGGCTGTAGAAGGAGCAAACCCAAGAGCCGCAAGTGTAGTCCTCAGTGTGTCGTGCCACTCATGGGGCGCCTGGCGGAAACCGTAGACTGTCCGCCGGAGGCTCCACTGAGTACCAGGAGGAAACGACCCAGTGAAGCCAGGTGGGCGGTGCAGCCAGATCTCCTCGTGCAGGCTGCCCTGCAGGAAAGCCGTGATGAAGTCAAGAGAGTGAAGCTCGTAGTCGCGCTGAGCGGTTATGTGCAGCAGCACCCGAAGAGTGGTCATCTTCGGGGTGGGAGAGAAGGTCTGAAAGTAGTCAACTCCCTTTCGCTGACTGAAGCCTCGAGCCACATAATGCGCCTTGAAGACAGGCGGAGAACCCGACGGCCGCTCCACCCTGAAAATCCACACGCCACTGACGATGTTCGCCCTAGGTGGGGGAACCTCGTCGATGTAGGTGCCTGTGGACTTCCACGAAGCCATCTCTGCGTCCATAGCCAACTGCCACAGAGAGGAGTAGGGACCCTCGATCGCCTCAGCGTACGATCGAGGACTCGGGATGTCTGGTGCATCCGGGTCTCCCTTAGGGGCAATCAGCGTGGACACAAGATGGGGCAAAGCAGCAGCAAAGCACTAAAACTCCTCCTGCCTATCCTCAAGGACGTTCGTGCTAAGAGCACACTCACCCCCGATGGATGGAGGACAGACAGACTCAGACTCAGCAACAAGACTAGTGGCGTAGTCTAGACGACAGCGAGCAGCAAAGTCGACAAGCTCAGCAACTAGGGCAGACGCAGCAGTGGACTCAAAGGAAGGGTCAGTGACAACAGTAGCTAGGAGACGCATGACAGTAGGACTGGCAGCACGAAGGGAGTCAGACCCCGGGTCAGCAAGAAGAGGAAGAGAGGACTCTGGAGGAGGCGGCAACGGGACACGCAGAGGAGTAGTGGAAGAACGCAGCGCCATCTGGTGTGTGCGGGGGACCGCAGGATGACGCGGACGCGCAGTACGACGGCTAGTGCGAGCAGCAAGAACAGGCGACGCAGGCTGAGACGCGGGCTCACGACGCTCAGCAAGACCTCCAATAGGACCAGTGTAGGGAGAAGGAGCAGGCAGGGGGGAGGCGGGCTGTAACTGTGACCGCGACTGGACATTCTGTGGACACTCTAAGGGAGGAGCAGAACTAGTAGTGGGCGGGAGACCAAGAACCTGCTCCAGGAGCGGAACGAAGTACGGCCTCGGTCGCGCAGCGCCTCCACAACCAGCAGGGACAGCAACAGTACCCCCAGCGGGAGCACCAGCGCTAGCAGCACCTCCAGCTCCAAAAGCGCCAACTCCAGCACCCTCAGACGCACCAGCGCCAGCAGCACCTCCAGCGCCAATGTCGAAATATGTTATTCATATTTATACAAAAGTCTGTAGTGTTAGTGTAGTTATGTTTCTCGTTTGGTGGTGCACCTCATTACCCTAGTTCTTGCCTATATCTTTGTACCTTTGCTCTTTATTGAATCACTTCACTCTCGACATTCTCTCCCAACTCAACTCGCTCCACACTCAACTCTCGTTCCACCTTGCCATGGCTCCTTAGCCTTGCTAGCGATTCTAACAGCCAACACCCCCAGCTGCTCCAGCTCCAGCAACTCCAGCTCCACCAGCACCAACTCCAGCACGACCGTTAGCTCCAGCAGCCTCAGCAGCACCCCCAAGCCCAGCAGCTCCAGTACCACCAGTACGAGCACCTCCAGGACCAGTGGCTCCAGTAACTCCAGTGCCGACCCCAGGGTCAGCAGTAACAGCAACACCTCCAGCTCCTGTAGCACGGCTCCAGCGCTGGGCAAACCACTCGCGGAGCTCCTTTGAAGAGGGTAGCTCCCGCCTCTACGAAGCTCCCGAAGGGGCCCCAAACCTAGCACTACCAGAGGTCACACGAGCAGACCCAGCACCCCCAGGCTCCGCACCCCCAGGATCAGCACCCCCAGGCATAGCACTCCCAGGATCCACACCCCCAGGCTCCGCACCCCCAGACTCAGCACCCCCAGGCTCAGCAGCACGAGAGTCAACAGCTACCTCGACAGGCTCGACTGCGTCTACCTGAGACACACCTGATGGGGCAGGACCCTGAGGGGGGAGGTGGTCTACTTGGGGGGGACCTGACGCAAGGAAGAGCAGCGGCGGGGGGAGGGGTGCAGTGCGGTAGGGGAAGAGACGGTAGTAAGGCACCGACTCGTCAAAGGTGACGTCCTGGGAGGACAGAATACGGCGCGAGGTGGGGTGGTAAAACTGCCAACCATGCGCGTCAGGGGGGAAGCCAAGGAAGACGCAGGGAACAGCACGGGGGGACAACTTGTCCGCAGACAAGTCGCGGACAAACGCCCGAGATCCCCAGACACGAAACGCAGACGCATCGCCAACCTTCCCCGTCCATCGCAAGGTGGGGGAGGTCTCTGGCAAGGAGACTTGGGGCTGAACGTTGATCTGATGCGCTGCGTACTGAACCGCAAACGGCCACAGAAAATGGGGAGCAGCCACATGGATCATGGACGTACGAGGGACGTCCATAACCATGCCAATGCCGCGCTCAGCAATCCCATTTTGCTGTGGAGAGGTCGAAGCGTGAAGGTCTTGCGGATGCCCTGTGCACCACAGAAGGCTTCCAGAAGGGCAGAGGAAAACTCCCCGCCTCTGTCAGAGTGCAAACGGAGAACAGGAAAGTCCGAGCAGAAACTCTCTCTGAGCTGGAGACGAGCTGCGCGGATCGAGTCGATCAACACCTCAGTGATGTCACCCTTGCTGCGCAAGGGGAAGACCATGGTGTAACGCGAATAGTCGTCAACCACCAACAGGAAGTAACGCTCGTGCCCCTGTCCACGGACGCGGGCGGGGCCTCACACGTCCATGTGAAGAGTCTGCAGCGGAGCCTCTGTTGGAGGAAACTCGGAGGAGTGAGGGGCGGCGCGCTGTCGCCCCTCGACGCAGGGGACGCAGGTAGGGGCGGGCCACGGATGTAGGGGAGGGAGAGATCGAGGGAGACCAGAGACAAGGATACGGGAGGCCATGCCTTGGAGACAAGGCAGGGAGGGGTGACCAAGGCGGTGGTGCCAAAGGAGAGTCTGGTGAGACGGGAGACGACACGAGCAGGGAGCAGACTCAGGACCAGACCTGGACGCTGCAGCAAACACCTGACTCGACGCAAGTACCTGACCAGACTCAGCAACCGGAGGAGACTCAGTAGTCAGTGTGTACAAGCTCGACCCCGCCCGATGGGTAAACGTGGCCAAGTGTTGGCCCGTTCGAGCACACGTACAGTGGGTCACTCGCTGACTCATAGGAGTGAACTGGTCAACCCCCCATCCTGTAGATCAGCACCACTCACCGAGTTCGTAGAGAACGAGGGGAGGTAGAGACTTTACAGGGTGCTAGAGGGGGTTGCCGGACACTGCAAGACAGTGGAGAAGTGGGCAAGGACAGGACCCCCAGAGGGGTCCGCTAGGGAGACCGCAACTGGCCGACTAAGCGGCGTAAGCGTGGTGCGGTCTCGAAAGAAGGAGCGGGATGCATCCGAGTCAAGGGTGAAGGTGTGTAAGGCCTGAGCAGACGTGGTACCAGAGAGCAGACTCACCAGCACCTGGGGCGGCAGACGCATTAGCACCTAGAGCAGCAGCCTCACCAGCACCTAGAGCAGCAGCCTCAATGCTCGGGTCATGCGGAACACACAGGTAACAGTCACCCTCATCACTAGTAGGTAATGCATACATGGTAGTGAGGATAGCATCATAGTCAAGAGTGTAGATATCTACCCGCAGCCTAAGCAGCTCCACCCAGTCGGGGAGCTCAGTCGCGTTGCCAAACTCCGTACGCCACGCATCGCTCAGACGAGCGAAGCAGCGGGACTCTGCGTGACCAAACGTCCTGCAAGGTTGACCAGTCCGATTACCAGTGCGAATGACGTACGGACAGCGAGCAGTACCCCGTGACCCGCCACGCTGAGCGTACCACTCACGAAGCTGGTGGGGCGAAAGGACCGCGCACGGACGACGCTATAGCTGCACCTAGCCACTACAAGCAGCTGCCAAACTACTCACTCCTGGACGACTCCCACTACGGCCACCCCGACAACCCCAAGTAGCGTACCACTCACGAAGCTGCTGGGGCGTGCGGGACTCACGCGGACGTCGCTGGAGCTGCATCTGGCCACCGCCAGGAGCAGCAAGAGTAGTGGTAGCCGCAGTAGCAATAGCAGAAGTCGCAGCGCGGCCACCCTTATGACCCCAACTAGCGTACCACTCACGAAGCTGTTGGGGGGTGAGGGACTCACGCGCACGGCGCTGGAGCTACATTTGGCCACGCCAGGAGCAGCAGTAGCAGTAGAAAGAGCATTAGCAGCAAGAGCAGCAGTAACAGCAGTACGGGCAGGGCAGTGCTCACCAGTGGCGAGAAGGGCAGGCGTACGACGGCGGCAACGGCGAGGCCGCTACCACTGTAGGGCGAGGGCTCCACTGCAGCTGCAGGGGTGGCTGCTCCAGGGGCGGCACTTGTAGGGGCGGCTGCTCCAAGGGGGGCTGCTGCAGAGGCGGTTGCTGCAGGGGCGGCTGCTGCAGGGGCGGCTGCTCCAGGGGCGGCTGCTCAAGGGGCGGCTGCTGCAGGGGCGGCTGCTCCAGGGGCGGCCGCTGCAGGGGTGGCTGCTCCAGGGGTGGCTGCTGCAGTGGCGGCTGCTCCAGGGGCGGTTGCTGCAGGGGCGGCTGCTCCAGGGGCGGCTGCTGCAGAGGTGGCTGCTCCAGGGGCGGCTGCTGCAGGGGCGGCTGCTCTAGGGGTGGCTGCTGCAGGGGCGGCTGCTCCAGGGGCGGCTACTGCAGGGGTGGCTGCTCCAGGGGCGGCTGCTTCAGGGGCGGCTGCTCCAGGGGCGGCTGCTGTAGGGGAGGCTGCTGCAGGGGCGGCTGCTCGAGGGGCGGCTGCTCCAGGGGCGGCTGCTGCACTGGCGGCTGCTCCAGGGGCGGCTGCTGCAATGGCGGCTGCTCCAGGGGCGGCTGCTGCAGTGGCGGCTGCTCCAGGGGCGGCTGCTGCAAGGGCGGCTGTTCCAGGGGCGGCTGCTGCAGTGGCGGCTACTCCAGGGGCGGCTGCTGCAGTGGCGGGTGCTCCAGGGGCGGCTGCTGCAGTGGCGGCTGCTCCAGGGGCGGGTGCTGTAGGGGCGGCTTCTCCAGAGGCGGGTGCTGTAGGGGCGGCTGCTCCAGGGGCGGGTACTTCAGGGGCGGCTGCTCCAGGGGCGGCTGCTTTAGGGGCGGCTGCTCCAGGGGCGGCTGCTGCAGGGGAGGCTGCTCGAGGGGCGGCTGCTGTAGTGGCGGCTGCTCCAGGGGCGGCTGCTGCAATGGCGGCTGCTCCAGGGCGCGGGTTAGGGCAGGGCGCCGCAGCGGGCAGGGATGATGCCACACGGGTCCCGCAAGGGCGTCGCGACGCACAGGAGCCGCGCCTCGCGGGTCCCGCAGGGGCGACGCGACGAGGCGGGGGCGACGCGGCGGGGCCGCGACTGGCGACGAGGCGGGGTCGCGTCTGGCGACGGGGCGGGGCCCCGAAGGGGCCGCGAAGGGAGCCGTGAGGGGGCCGCGAGGGTGCTGTGAAGGGGCCGTGAAGGGGCTGCAAAGGGGCCGTTAAGGGGCCGCAAAGAGGCCGCGAAGGTGCCGTGAAGGGGCCGTGAAGGGGCCGCAAAGGGGGCCGCGAAGGGAGGCCACGAAGGGGCCACAAGTTGCCTGAAGGGGCCGCGAAGGGTCGTGAGAGGGGCCGTGAGAGGCCGTGAGAGGGGCCGCTACTGGGCCGTAGGGGCAACGAGGGGCCTGAAGGGGCCGCAAAGGGCCATGAGAGGGGCCGTGAGAGGCCGTGAGAGGGGCCGCTACGGGGCCGTAGGGGAGCGCGATGGGCCACTAAGGGCAGGGGACGCGACGGGAGGGTAGGCACACGGGGCGCGACTCGGGGGCGAAGCGCGCTCCGGGTAGGAAAAAAAAATCGACATTTGGTGGGCCCTAGGAAACGTTCCCACTAGGGAACCTGCTCTATATCATGTGAAAGAACGAGGGATGAATGAACTAGCAAGCAGGTGGGTACAAGTAGGAAAACCTAAAAGTGTTGTACCCCATATTGTCTACCCCACTACAGCCTACACAGATTATAGCATATGAGTTTGACAAGTGTGAGGCGGCTACTGCTGCTGTGACAGCTCCTGTGGGGGAGATCAAGACCCTTGCCACACTCGCAGAGCTGCAGGTAAGTGGATGCTGCAGATGCATGGTGGATGCTGTAGATGCATGGTGGATGCTGCAGATGCATGGTGGATGCTGCGTCAACCTGCCTCTCTCTTGCCACTCTCCGTTTCCTCTGTCCCCCCTTCCCTCGCCTCTCTCCCATCACAGGTGCTCCCAGCAGGGGAATCAGCCCCAGCAGGGTGTGCAGTGGCCATAGTGGATAGAGCCCGTCCATGCACGTGTTGCCGAGGGGGATGGTTCTTCTGTTGCTGCGGGTGCTGCTTTTGCAACCTCCCACGATTTCTTCCCTTTTCCCACTACTCGGTTCCTTCCCATCACAGGTGCTCCCAGCAGGGGAATCAGCCTCGGCAGGGTGTGCAGTGGCAATAGTGGATGAGAGTCTGTCAGTGCACGTGCTGCTGAGGGGGATGGTGGTGGTGAGGTCATGCTGCTGCTGCTAATACTGCTGCTACAACCTGCCCCACACAGCTCCTTTCCTCTCCCTGCTACCCCTTTTTCTCTTCCCTTTCAGGTGCTCCCAGCAGGGGAATCAGCCCCAGCAGGGTGTGCAGTGGCGATAGTGGATGAGAGTCTTTTAGTGCACGTGCTGCTGAGGGGGATGGTGGATGTCAAGGCGGAGGCACAGAAGCTGGGCAAGCGCAAGGGCGAAACAGCCAAGTGAGTACCTCCTCTTGCTTGCCACGTGTCTCTCTTGAGTCATGTGAGTGGATGAGGGCCTGCCAGTGCTGCTGAGAGGCATGGTGGACCTCAAGGCGGAGGCACAGAAGCTGGGCAAGCGCAAGGGCGAAACCGCCAAGTGAGTGCCCTCCCTTTGCTTGCCGCGTGTCTCTCTTGAGTCGTGTGAGTGGATGAGGGCCTGCCAGTGCTGCTGAGAGGCATGGTGGATGCCAAGGCGGAGGCACAGAAGCTGGGCAAGCACAAGAACGAAACAGCCAAGTAAGTACTGTCGGGGCACAGGGGGCCTTGCCGGTGTGAGCATACTTTCGGGGCATTGTACGTGGTGATGAGAGGCTTGGTGGATCTCAAGGCGGAGGCACACAAGCTGGGCAAGCGCAAGGGCGAAACAGCCAAGTGAGTACCTCCTCTTGCTTGCCACGTGTCTCTCTTGAGTCGTGTGAGTGGATGAGGGCGGCAGTGCTGCTGAGAGGCATGGTGGACCTCAAGGCGGAGGCATAGAAGCTGGGCAAGCGCAAGGGCGAAACCGCCAAGAGAGTTTCTTGCTTTCCCACTTGCTTTTGAGTCCCCTCTTCAGATTTCCCTACACTTCACATTGTCTTTTCTTGTAGCCGTTTTAAACCACCAAGGTGGCGTTTGAGTCGACTAAAAAATACGCAGCTTTTGTCTTCTGCCCACCAGACTCCAGGAAGCGCGTGCGAATGAGATGGTTGTGCCGGGCAGCCGGGATACCTGGAGAAGGTGCTAGGCTGGCAAACGAATTGGTACCCTTAGTTCATGTTGTGAAATGCATGTGTTTTCTTCCACCCACCAAGCTGCAGGAGGCTCTGGCCAAGAAGATGTGTGTGCCGGGGTACGAGGAGAAGGTTGAATTCCAGCCGCTCACTGTAGTACTCTGCATTGTCTCTCCGTTGTCGTTTCACCCATCACCAGGCTGCAGGAGGCTCTGGCCAAGAAGATGGGTGTGCCGGGGTACGAGGAAAAGGTTGTTTTCCAGGCGCTCACTGTAGTACTCTGCATTGTCTCTCTGTTGTCGTTTCACCCACCACCAGGCTGCAGGAGGCTCTAGCCAAGAAGATGGGTGTGCCGGGGTACGAGGAGAAGGTTGTTTTCCAGGCGCTCACTGTAGTACTCTGCATCGTCTCTCTGTTGTCGTTTCACCCACCACCAGGCTGCAAGAGGCTCTGGCCAAGAAGATGGGTGTGCCGGGGTATGAGGAGAAGGTTGTTTTCCAGGCGCTCACTGTAGTACTCTGCATTGTCTCTTTGTTGTCGTTTCACCCATCACCAGGCTGTAGGAGGCTCTGGCCAAGAAGATGGGTGTGCCGGGGTACGAGGAGAAGGTTGTTTTCCAGGCGCTCACTGTAGTACTCTGCATTGTCTCTCTGTTGTCGTTTCACCCACCACCAGGCTGCAAGAGGCTCTGGCCAAGAAGATGGGTGTGCCGGGGTACGAGGAGAAGGTTGTTTTCCAGGCGCTCACTGTAGTACTCTGCATTGTCTCTCTGTTGTCGTTTCACCCACCACCAGGCTGCAAGAGGCTCTGGCCAAGAAGATGGGTGTGCCGGGGTACGAAGAGAAGGTGCCATCAAACGTGCGAGAGGAGAATGCCAGCAAGGCTGCCAAGCTGGCGGCTGAGCTAGCGAGCATTGACGAGGCGAAAAAGAACTTTGAGAAGCTGATGCTTGATGAAGCCTCTGCGTGATGATGCTGTTGTGTGAAGTGACCTATGAGTCTACTCAAAGCTCTCCTTGATAAGACCTTGTGTACAATTGATACCGTTCTTTGCTTTCAAGTGCGGATGCTGATAAGGCGATCAAGAGCTTTAAGAACCTAATGCATGATCAGGCTTCTGTTAGAATGATGCTTCTGCATGATGGGACTTATGCATCAACTTTAAGTCAACTTGAATTCAAGTGCGGAATGGGATTTTGTTTGCGCCTGTATGGCGACTCTCTCAAGCATAGGCTGGGCGTCGCATTTCCGGTGTAGTCTCATTTGCTGTCTGCAATGGGCAGAAGTGTGCTTAAATTCAGCATTCAGTGTCAATTGTCAAGCTTAGGCTGATAGTGGTCAGTGATTATTCCACATCCTGTTCGAATCAGCATTCACATGATTTAGAGAGAAGAATGGGTTTTGGGGAAGAATGTGACAAGGCAAAGTTAACTATTTGGAATGACGTTAATTCGTTTTATGGGCTTATGGAAGTGTACCTAATACATCTAAAGGGCACTCAAATGTTGTGATGATCACATGTTCGTGTTTGTCACATCCCACTAGTCTTTGCACATCAACACACGTGGCAAAGCAAGATAGGAACAAACTAGTTTTGGCGCTATTAACCCGAGGCGCGAATTCCGAATCGCGTTCTTCGTTTGTGTCGCCCTCCACTTGCTGTTGCCCTGCGTGCTGGACAGAATTCTCGAAATGGTGCAGCTGAATCAACATGCAGGGCGGGATTTGTCCACCCGCTCACAAAATTCATCTGCTTGGATGTTCGTTTGGCTGGGTAAGGAAATTATCGCACAAAACCGCACATAAATGTACAAAAACGCACTGCGCCAAGGTAAAACGATTCAGGTCCAGCATCCGTTACCCCTTCGCGCACCGCGCTGCAAATCTCAGCCAAGGGAGCCTTGGCAATCGGAAGCAAAACCGAACTTTCTGGCTGGTTACCTCCACCAAACCACCAACGAAGGCATCACTCCACACAAGTCTTGTTGTCGCTTTGGTTTTGCTCACAACCTGCACTTGCAGCGTCCTGTCTCGACTCTTGTGCTCTCGTCATTCGCACAACCACCTTCCGAAACAATAAATGTTCATTGCGTAGCGATTATAAGGGTGGGTGAGGAGAAGGACGACGGTCCACTGACCTCCGGCCGACACGCGAACAGTGTCGTATTACGCCGTCGTGCGACTCGTAAAAGTAGTATACACATACATCGCAGTAACTGGACCTCTGCGACAACATCGACGGCCTGGAAAAGACGGCCGCCTTTCTTCCTCTTAGAGTGCGTTGTCCAGCCATTTTCCCCTCAACCTGACCACTACCCCTGCAAGCGCAATAGCACGCAGTACTGACGCCACAGGAGAATAAGCCCACTCGCAGGGTCAGTCGGCTGTTTCATTAGCCTCAGACTTCGCCAGGATCCAGGCAGCAGCCTTACACTAATCACAGTCTCCCTCCTGTCACACTGGCAGAAAACGGGCCGTTTTTTTATAGCGTGGCGGACCCACTTCGACCTGTATTAATTTGTTAGTTTAAGCGGGGTAGTCCAAGTCCGCACCACTCCAACTGATAGGATTTCTGGGCGAAGCTCGATTCGCAGGAGACGGTTCCACAATAAGTACCATACTAGGCCCAAATTACGCAATACTTTCCCGTGAATAGCAGTCCCCTTGCCAGCCATGGCTTTCCTATGCTTCTCGGTGGCAAAGAGGCGTTTCCATCCATGGCTTTCCTCCCTGCGCACCTCTCTAGAGAATTCTCAACAGTCGCATCTCTCAGCATCGTAGATATCCACCCACTCGCGTGACTGCTGCGACTCATCACTCGTGCAATTTCTCCTTAACCCTGTCCCCGCAAATCTTTCGAATTTTATAGAATTTCTGGAGTATATCGCGCCGCAATCTCAGTGAATGCGGCTCGTTTGATGCTGCTCTTTACTTTCATGTCTGTCTGTGCCGCCGCGACATGAAATGGCTGCGCCTGACGCCACGGCAGACAGGCGGCGAGCCGGCTCGACCAGTCAACCAAGTCAACCCGCTGGAACAAGTCAATGCGGTCAATCTGGTCAGCCCGCTGGAACCGGTCAATACGGTCAACCTGGTCAACCCAGTCGAAGGAGCCAGAGCCGCAGGGGAGACTGTCAGGCCGTGGGCGAAGTACCTTCGCGTGATAAAAACGACTGTGACAAAAACGAGCTCAGCAAAACCGTACAGCCACGTCAGCAAGATTCATCATTCCACGTGTTCGGGGACATCATCCATGTCAGCGCTCAAGCCGCTCGCTCCCTGCCCGTGGAGCCAGCCGGGGATGATGGATCCGCCATACGCTGCCACGTGTACGATCTACTCCGCGAAGCACGCCGCCACTGTCGGGCTGGCGGCGCCGAACGCGGCGATATCTGCAGCGTGGAATATGGCGGCGTCGGCTCTTTCACCGAATGTGGCGGAGACGGCCAGTGCGCAGGAAGCTGCAGCAGCGGAGGGAAGGGCGACAGTGACGGAAACGGCGGAGGTTGCGGAAGGCGGGTCTGTGGGCGGAGTGACTGGGGGGAACCGGAGCAGGGGAAGCCGAGCCTGGAGGCTCGGTTTAGGCTCGGAAAGGAGCTGGGGCGAGGCCATTTCGGGGTGGTGCGGCTCTGCGAAGACAAGCGAACAGGGGAGAAGTTCGCATGCAAGACCGTTCTCAAGTCGCAAATAGCAGTGCGTTTCGGTTCAGTTGTTTTCTACTGTCATTTCATAACCAAAGGGCTGGTGAAGTCATTCAATCGCGCTTGGTGGCTTTTCAAAACTTCCTTCTTCTCTTTTGCTTCCCCCATTTCGTTCTATTACCCTTTTCCCTTTCCACTCCGCTTTTTCCTCTCCGTATTCCCCGTTCAGCAGACTCCCGAGGCCATGCGCGAGTTGCGCGCGGAGGTGCTGATTCCGCTGCTGTTGCAAGCAGCGCAGAGGAAAAAGCAGGCGCAAGAATCGCGCGGGGAAGGAGATGAGACACAACAGGACGCGAGGCAAGAGGCGGAAGCAGGGCGCAACGAAGGCTGGGACGTTACTGCGCGCGGAGAAGGAGCGGGGGAAGCAATGCGCGAGGTAGAGGGGGAGCGGCGGAATGGAGTGAGAGAACACGGGGAGAAAGCGGAGATTTATGGGCGGGGTGTGTCAGCAGCTCGGTGTTTGAAGTTTGTGCGGATAACGGACGTGACTGAAACGGATCAGAGCACCGCCAACCGTCATCACAACAGCGAGGCAGACGGTCGCGAGGCTGGGTGTACAAACCGGAGTGTACAAGACATTAGCAGTACAAAAGTGAAAAACAAATATCATAACGAAGGCAAAAATGATGCATACAGGAGTGGGCCTGACAAGGGGTTTGTGCGATTGGTGGATGTTTTCGAGGACGAGTCTGCAGTGCACATGGTGATGGAGCACTGCGAGGGAGGAGATTTGTTTGAACACGTGGCACGATGTGAGAGACTGGATGAACGACAAACTGCCGACATAATGAGGTGTGTCGGTTCCCTTACTCCATGCAATGTCCTCCACCCCAACCCTCCCAGACTCGCGCTCTCGTCCCCGCCTCTCCCTTTTCCTCCTCCCCCCCAACCTCCAACTCCCGGACCTTGGCCCGCTTGCTCTTCCTTCCCCCTCCTTCCTCTCCAATCCCGTGTTTTTGAGAATTCTCAAAAATACTGTGCTTCGTTCACCTGGTCTGTCTTCGTCCATCCCGTTACATCACAGCCTCTTTCTTTGCTGTCTTTGTTTGCTGGTCTCTCGCCCACCTGCTCCTCGGCCTTTTCCTTCATTAGTTCCCTCATCAGACCCCCACCCACTTTACTCATCAGCTCTCCAACACCCAGCAATATCTGTACGCCTCTTCCGCCCTCCCCACTCCCAATTCCCTCCTCCCCTCTCTCCCCTTCCACCCCCACCACCGCTTCCCTTCTCCCCTTTCCTCTTCTCCCCCACTTTTTTCCCTTTTCCCGCGTTCATGCATGCCCCGTCTCCCAGGCAACTCGCAACAGCTGTGGCAAGGATGCACGAGATGGGAGTAGTGCACCGAGATTTGAAGCCCGAAAACATCCTCCTTACAAGCACATCCCGTTACTCGGACAGCAACCTCTCCACCACGCACTTCTCCGACCGCATGGACTCTGAATCAACTTCAACCGCTGAACCCTCCCCGCCCTCGTTATCAGCAGCCTCATTAACAGCAAGTTTCCTCACAGTTAAGATTGCTGACTTCGGGTTAGCGAGAGTCTTAAAACGAGGATGCAGGCTGCATGGGTTGGTGGGGAGCCCATTCTACATGGCTCCTGAGACTGTCAGAGGGAGGGAGTATGGTCTCGAGGTGGATGTGTGGAGTTTAGGTGTGATAATGTACACTTGCCTTTCTGGTACACTACCGTTTTTTGGTAAAAACCAGAATGCAGTATTTGCTGCAGTTTGCAGGGGAGAGGTGGATTTGGAGACGGGCAGTCACTGGCCGTTGATTTCGCACGAGGCAAAGGATCTCATCCGTCGGATGCTGGATGTGGATCCCAATCGACGGATTGGATCGAGTCGCATCGTGCATCATCCATGGTTCAAACGGGCGGGAGGTGAGCACGTGGATCAGCATCAGCATCAGCATCACCAGCAACATATGCCGTGGCCTTTATACCAGAGGCAGCATTGGAAGCAGGAGGAGGTGAATCAGAAAGCGCATTGGCAGCATCACCATCACCATCAGCAGCAGCAGGCACATTTTCACAAGCACCAACCCGAGAAGCACCCTCACCAGCTTCAGCAGCAACATTTCCACCAGCGGCCGCACCACCAACACCACCATCACGACCATCAGCAGCAGCAGCAGCAGCAGCAGCAGCAGCAGCACAACAAGGGGACAGCCACACAACCAAGCTCCAGCTGCCACACTATCAGTAGTTCTGATGGTGTCAATAGGAGACCGTGCAGCAGCAGTGGAGGCAGTAGTAGAGCAGGCAGCAAGGCAGGCGGCAGACTTCGAGTGACCACCAGCTTCGACAGAGAAGGCAGCAGCGGCAGAGAAAGCACCAAAACTACCACCATTCTTTCTACATCTCCTTCCTCTCCAGCTCCCTTACACTCACCGTCAAGTCCTGTAGCTTTCCTGTCAGACCCTTCAGGTGTTTCGTTTGCATCCCCTGGTGCGTTCCCGGATCAGTGCTTGTTGACCGAGGTAAGAGCCAGCCAATCACAGCGCAGGGGCAGGTTCATGATATTTTCTGCTCCATCTTCCCCGGTTCCTGTGGCACGTTGCATGAAGAACGTGGTTGGTGTTGGTGGCGCATCTCGGCTGTCGTTATCATCAAAGGATGAGTCGATGGATAAAGCTATGGAGGATGGTATTTTGGGGTGTAGTCCGAACTCTGTTCTTGATGGTAATGACTTCAAGGAGTAGGATGTTACTTGTATTAGGTTGCGTAAACCTAGTGCATAGCTACATCTTGTTGAAATAGGAGTAACGTAATGTCAAAACTTCATTTAGAATCGGTAGAGTGTAATTGTTGCTCAGTTTAAACTTCTTTGAGCTAGATCATCTGTGAAATAAATACATTTGTTTTCGTAAACAAAGAGGTAATGGATACTTAAGGCCGGAGTCTTTATCGGTTCTAATGTCGGTATGATTACGAACACCTGCAATCGCGAATGAGCCCCATTTTTCTGGCTCTCACCGCTCTGCCCCACTTGGGATTGCCGTCGTCACTGCTTTCCCTGCTTCCCTTTCCTACCCATATAATCTCCATACCCTTCCATACCCTTACCTTCGAGTCCCACTGGTCCTTAATTTCTCGCACCGCGCAGCCATCCTTGAATTTCCAAAGCCGGGCCGCCTTTCGGAATCAGCAGGCGAATTCCATGGCGTCTGCTGCGCCGGCTGCCGCGGAGGAATCCGCGTCGAAAGCGGCGGAGAATGTCAGTCAGGATCCAACGGTTAAGAGCGATTGGGAGGTGGCACCGTGGGATCGACACGCGGGGGTGCTGAAGATGGCACGATTCGACTACCGGCGGGAGGAGCTACTCCGATCCGGAAATGGTGGCGGGATTCAAGGGTTTCTGATCACGTGCGCTTTCCGTACGTGCTCACCCTGTCCCCTACAGATTTAGTTAAAAAAAAAACTAAACAATCACCGGCAAGCTATATCGCCCACCTTTCTTTATTGCATTCAGTTCGTTCTCCCGTTACCAGCATACATAACTTTGTATGCGTTGATTCTTGATGGTGTGTGCGGCACTGCTTAATGTATGCATGCCTGAATTGAGGCGCCTCAAAACTTAACTTCGTAAGCGTTGATTCTTGTTGGTGTGTGCGGCACTGCTCGATGTATGCATACCTGAATTGCGTGCCTGGCGTGTGTCTGCTGCATACCTGGCGTGTGCTGGACGTGTGCTGGGCGTGTGTTCAGGCCGAGAGAAGAGCGCCACATCAGAAGCGCTTTCCATCCTCCCTAAGGTATACTTCCATAAGGGTTCCTGAAAGGTTTCTTTGCTGCACTGCACTGCATTTACTGTTTACGTCCGTACATTCTCAACTAATCTAGCAATTTCTTAAGTTGTGCCCATTTCTGAGTCCGACTCAAAATATCATGAGTCTTCCCTCACTTACCCGTCCCTCCCCCGCTAACCCCTTCCCCCCCCCCCTTCCCCCCCCTTCACCCCCCCCCCCCTCCTCTCTCCAATTTTCGAGTCCGACTCAAATATAATGAGTCTTCTCTCACTTACCCGTCCCTCCCCCGCTACCACCCCCCCCTCCGCCCCCTCTCCCCCGTGCCAGTACCTGCCTGCAGTGTGTGCGAGCGTGACTGAAGGGGAAGAGCTAGAGGCAGCGGAGGAGGGGAAACACGGAGCTGATTCGAATGTGGGGCTTGAAGGGAGTGCTGCGGCCAAGAGACAGAGAGTAGAGACGGGAGAGGAGAGGGGAGAGGAGGGGAAACTGAAGGGGGAAGAGGGGAAAGGGGAGGGGGAGGAGGAGGGGAAAGAGGAAGGGGGAACGAAGGAGGAAGGTAATGCAGAGCGAAGCACAGTGGAAGAGGGGGAGGATGGTGCAAAGGATAAGGAGGATAAGGCAGCGGCAGAAGATTGTGAAAAGACAGTTATGGAGACAGGGGAGGGTAAGGCAATGAAGGTTAGCAAGGCAGAGCAGGATGCGAGTGCAGCGGAAGACGCTCTTAAGGCCGGGCTAGGGGCGGTCAAGCTGGGCAGCATGGGAATAACTTTTCTGGCGCTGCCCGAGAAGGAAAAATGTGTGCCGGGCAGCGAGGTGCCCTGCCCTGTGGATGTTGTCGGGCAGATTCTGAAGGTCATCAATGAGAAGAAGAGGAGCGGCCTCAAGTGAGTGTTGCAACCACTGCACTCCACTGCACTCCACTCCACCCCACTCCAACCCCCCTCGGCTCCCTGTCTCTCCTTGCTTCTGAGTTATGAGGTGCCTCAAAGTAGCGTTTCAGATTCTGAAGGACATCAATGAGAAGAAGAGGAGTGGCCTCAAGTGAGTGTCCCACTCCACGCCACTCCTCTCCACTCACTTCAAACTATAATACATTGCTACTCTCCCCTTCTGCCCGTCACGTCTGCCTTGCTCCCCTTCTGTTCTCTACCTTCAACTCTCTCCCACTTTTGCTAGCTTATCCCCTCCCTCCCTTTCTCCCTCCCTCCCTTTCTCCCTCCCTCCCTCCCTCCCTCCCTCCCTTTCTCCCTCCCTCCCTTTCTCCCTCCCTCCCTTTCCTCCCTCCCTCCCTTTCCTCCCTCCCTCCCTTCCCTCCCTCCCTCCCTCCCTCCCTCCCTCCCTCCCTCCCTCCCTCCCTTTCTCCCTCCCTCCCTCCCTCCCTCCCTCCCTCCCTTTCTCCCTCCCTCCCTCCCTCCCTCCCTCCCTCCCTCCCTCCCTCCCTCCCTCCCTCCCTCCCTCCCTCCCTCCCTCCCTCCCTCCCTCCCTCCCTCCCTTCTCCCTCCCTCCCTCCCTCCCTCCCTCCCTCCCTCCCTCCCTCCCTCCCTCCCTCCCTCCCTCCCTCCCTTTCCTCCCTCCCTCCTCCCTCCCTCCCTCCTCCCTCCCTCCCTCCCTCCCTCCCTCCCTCCCTCCCTCCCTCCCTCCCTCCCTCCCTTCCCTCCCTCCCTCCTTCTCCCTCCCTCCCTTTCTCCCTCCCTCCCTCCCTTTCTCCCTCCCTCCCTCCCTTTCTCCCTCCCTCCCTCCCTTTCTCCCTCCCTCCCTCCCTTTCTCCCTCCCTCCCTCCCTTTCTCCCTCCCTCTTTTGCGCCCGCCCTCCCTTTCTCCCTCCCTCCCTCCCTTCCCTCCCTCCCTCCCTCTCCTCCCTCCCTCCCTCCCTCCCTCCCTCCCTCCCTCCCTCCCTCCCTCCCTCCCTCCCTCCCTCCCTCCCTCCCTCCCTCCCTCCCTCCTCCCTCCCTCCCTCCCTCCCTCCCTTTCTCCCTCCCTCCCTCCCTTCTCCTCCCTCCCTCCCTCCTTCTCCCTCCCTCCCTCCCTCCCTTCTCTCCCTCCCTCCCTCCTCCCTCCCTCCCTCCCTCCCTCCCTCCTCCCTCCCTCCCTCCCTCCCTCCCTCCCTCCCTCCCTCCCTCCCTCCCTCCCTCCCTCCCTTCCCTCCCTCCCTCCCTTCTCCCTCCCTCCCTCCCTTTCTCCCTCCCTCCCTCCCTTTCTCCCTCCCTCCCTCCCTTTCTCCCTCCCTCCCTCCCTTTCTCCCTCCCTCCCTCCCTTTCTCCCTCCCTCCCTCCCTTTCTCCCTCCCTCCCTCCCTTCTCCTCCCTCCCTCCCTCCCTCCCTCCCTCCCTCCCTCCCTCCCTCCCTTTCTCCCTCCCTCCCTCCCTCCCTCCCTCCCTCCCTCCCTCCCTCCCTCCCTCCCTCCCTCCCTCCCTCCCTCCCTCCCTCCCTCCCTCCCTCCCTTTCTCCCTCCCTCCCTCCCTTTCTCCCTCCCTCCCTCCCTTTCTCCCTCCCTCCCTCCCTTTCTCCCTCCCTCCCTCCCTTTCTCCCTCCCTCCCTCCCTTTCTCCCTCCCTCCCTCCCTTTCTCCCTCCCTCCCTCCCTTTCTCCCTCCCTCCCTCCCTTTCTCCTCCCTCTCTCCCTTCCTCCCTCCCTCTCTCCCTCCCTCCCTCCCTCCTTCTCTCCCTCCCTCCCTCCCTCCCTTCTCCCTCCCTCCCTCCCTCCCTCCCTCCCTCCCTCCCTCCCTCCCTCCCTCCCTCCCTCCCTCCCTCCCTCCCTCCCTCCCTCCCTCCCTCCCTCCCTCCCTCCCTCCCTCCCTTTCTCCCTCCCTCCCTCCCTCCCTCCCTCCCTCCCTCCCTCCCTCCCTCCCTCCCTCCCTCCCTCCCTCCCTTTCTCCCTCCCTCCCTCCCTCCCTCCCTCCCTCCCTCCCTCCCTCCCTCCCTCCCTCCCTCCCTCCCTCCCTCCCTCCCTCCCTCCCTCCCTCCCTCCTCCCTTCTCCCTCCCTCCCTCCCTTTCTCCCTCCCTCCCTCCCTTTCTCCCTCCCTCCCTCCCTTTCTCCCTCCCTCCCTCCCTCCCTCCCTCCCTCCCTCCCTCCCTCCCTCCCTCCCTCCCTCCCTCCCTCCCTCCCTCCCTCCTCCCTCCCTCCCTCCCTCCCTTCTCCCTCCCTCCCTCCCTCCCTCCCTCCCTCCCTCCCTCCCTCCCTCCCTCCCTCCCTCCCTCCCTCCCTCCTCCCTCCCTCCCTCCCTCCCTCCCTCCCTCCCTCCCTCCCTCCCTCCCTCCCTCCCTCCCTCCCTCCCTCCCTCCCTCCCTCCCTCCCTCCCTTTCTCCCTCCCTCCCTCCCTTTCTCCCTCCCTCCCTCCCTTTCTCCCTCCCTCCTCCCTTTCTCCCTCCCTCCCTCCCTTTCTCCCTCCCTTTCTCCCTCCCTCCCTCCCTTTCTCCCTCCCTCCCTCCCTCCCTCCCTCCCTCCCTCCCTCCCTCCTTCTCTCCCTCCCTCCCTCCCTCCCTCCCTTTCTCCCTCCCTCCCTCCCTCCCTCCCTCCCTCCCTCCCTCCCTCCCTCCCTCCCTCCCTCCCTCCCTCCCTCCCTCCCTCCCTCCCTCCCTCCCTCCCTTCTCCCTCCCTCCCTCCCTCCCTCCCTCCCTCCCTCCCTCCCTCCCTCCCTCCCTCCCTCCCTCCCTCCCTCCCTCCCTCCCTTCTCCCTCCCTCCCTCCCTTTCTCCCTCCCTCCCTCCCTTTCTCCCTCCCTCCCTCCCTTTCTCCCTCCCTCCCTCCCTTTCTCCCTCCCTCCCTCCCTTTCTCCCTCCCTCCCTCCCTTTCTCCCTCCCTCCCTCCCTTTCTCCCTCCCTCCCTCCCTTCCTCCCTCCCTCCTTCTCCCTCCCTCCCTCCCTCCTTCTCTCCCTCCCTCCCTCCCTCCCTTCCCTCCCTCCTCCCTCCCTCCCTCCCTCCCTCCCTCCCTCCCTCCCTCCCTCCCTCCCTCCCTCCCTCCCTCCCTCCCTCCCTCCCTCCCTCCCTCCCTCCCTCCCTCCCTCCCTTTCTCCTCCCTCCCTCCCTTTCTCCCTCCCTCCCTCCCTTTCTCCCTCCCTCCCTCCCTTTCTCCCTCCCTCCCTCCCTTTCTCCCTCCCTCCCTCCCTTTCTCCCTCCCTCCCTCCCTTTCTCCCTCCCTCCCTCCCTTTCTCCCTCCCTCCCTCCCTTTCTCCCTCCCTCCCTCCCTTTCCTCCCTCCCTCCCTCCCTCCCTCCCTCCCTCCCTCCCTCCCTCCCTCCCTCCCTTCTCCCTCCCTCCCTCCCTCCCTCCCTCCCTCCCTCCCTCCCTCCCTCCCTCCCTCCCTCCCTCCCTCCCTCCCTCCCTCCCTCCCTCCCTCCCTTTCTCCCTCCCTCCCTCCCTTTCTCCCTCCTTCCCTCCCTTCTCCCTCCCTCCCTCCCTTTCTCCCTCCCTTTCTCCTCCCTCCCTCCCTTTCTCCCTCCCTCCCTCCCTCCCTCCCTTTCTCCCTCCCTCCCTCCCTTTCTCCTCCCTCCCTCCCTTCTCCTCCCTTCTCCTCCCTCCCTCCCTCCTTCTCTCCTCCCTCCCTCCCTCCCTTTCTCCTCCCTCCCTCCCTCCCTCCCTCCCTCCCTCCTCCTCCCTCCCTCCCTCCCTCCCTCCCTCCCTCCCTCCCTCCCTCCCTCCCTCCCTCCCTCCCTCCCTTCCCTCCCTCCCTCCCTTCTCCCTCCCTCCCTCCCTCCTCCCTCCCTCCCTCCCTCCCTCCCTCCCTCCCTCCCTCCCTCCCTCCCTCCCTCCCTCCCTTTCTCCCTCCCTCCCTCCCTCCCTCCCTCCCTCCCTCCCTCCCTCCCTCCTCCTCCCTCCCTCCCTCCTTTCTCCCTCCCTCCCTCCTCCCTCCCTCCCTCCCTCCTCCTCCCTCCCTCCCTCCCTTTCTCCCTCCCTCCCTCCCTTTCTCCCTCCCTCCCTCCCTTTCTCCCTCCCTCCCTCCCTTTCTCCCTCCCTCCTCCCTTCTCCCTCCCTCCTCCCTTCCCTCCTCCCTCCCTCCCTTTCTCTCCCTCCCTCCCTCCCTCCCTTCCTCCCTCCTCCCTCCCTCCCTCCCTCCTCCCTCCCTCCCTCCCTCCCTCCCTCCCTCCCTCCCTCCCTCCCTCCCTCCCTCCTCCCTCCCTCCCTCCCTCCCTCCCTCCCTTTCTCCCTCCCTCCCTCCCTTTCTCCCTCCCTCCTCCCTTTCTCCCTCCCTCCCTCCCTTTCTCCCTCCCTCCCTCCCTTTCTCCCTCCCTCCCTCCCTTTCTCCCTCCCTCCCTCCCTTTCTCCCTCCCTCCCTCCCTTTCTCCCTCCCTCCCTCCCTTCTCCCTCCCTCCCTCCCTTTCTCCTCCCTCCCTCCCTCCCTCCTTCTCTCCCTCCTTCCCTCCCTCCCTTTCTCCCTCCCTCCCTCCCTCCCTCCCTCCCTCCCTCCCTCCCTCCCTCCCTCCCTTTCTCCCTCCCTCCCTCCCTCCCTCCCTCCTCCCTCCCTCCCTCCCTCCCTCCCTCCCTCCCTCCCTCCCTCCCTCCCTCCCTCCCTTTCTCCCTCCCTCCCTCCCTTTCTCCCTCCCTCCCTCCCTTTCTCCCTCCCTCCCTCCCTTTCTCCCTCCCTCCCTCCCTTTCTCCCTCCCTCCCTCCCTTTCTCCCTCCCTCCCTCCCTTTCTCCCTCCCTCCCTCCCTTTCTCCCTCCCTCTCTCCCTCCCTCCCTCCCTCCTTCTCTCCCTCCCTCCCTCCCTCCCTTTCTCCCTCCCTCCCTCCCTCCCTCCCTCCCTCCCTCCCTCCCTCCCTCCCTCCCTCCCTCCCTCCCTCCCTCCCTCCCTCCCTCCCTCCCTCCCTCCCTCCCTCCCTTTCTCCCTCCCTCCCTCCCTCCCTCCCTCCCTCCCTCCTCCCTCCCTCCCTCCCTCCCTCCCTCCCTCCCTTTCTCCCTCCCTCCCTCCCCCCTCCCTCCCTCCCTCCCTCCCTCCCTCCCTCCCTCCCTCCCTCCCTCCTCCCTCCCTCCATCCCTCCCTCCCTTCTCCCTCCCTCCCTCCCTTCTCCCTCCCTCCCTCCCTTTCTCCCTCCCTCCCTCCCTTTCTCCCTCCCTCCCTCCCTTTCTCCCTCCCTCCCTCCCTTTCTCCCTCCCTCCCTCCCTTTCTCCTCCCTCCCTCCCTTTCTCCCTCCCTCCCTCCCTCCCTTTCTCCTCCCTCCCTCCCTCCCTCCTCCCTCCCTCCCTCCCTCCCTCCCTCCCTTCCTCCCTCCCTCCCTCCCTCCCTCCCCTCCCTCCCTCCCTCCCTCCCTCCCTCCCTCCCTCCCTCCCTCCTCCCTCCCTCCCTCCCTCCCTCCCTCCCTCCCTCCCTTTCTCCCTCCCTCCCTCCCTTTCTCCCTCCCTCCCTCCCTTTCTCCCTCCCTCCCTCCCTTTCTCCCTCCCTCCCTCCCTTTCTCCCTCCCTCCCTCCCTTTCTCCCTCCTCCCTCCCTTTCTCCCTCCCTCCCTCCCTTTCTCCCTCCCTCTCTCCCTCCCTCCCTCCCTCCTTCTCTCCCTCCCTCCCTCCCTCCCTTTCTCCTCCCTCCCTCCCTCCCTCCCTCCCTCCCTCCCTCCCTCCTCCCTCCCTCCCTCCCTCCTCCCTCCCTTCTCCCTCCCTCCCTCCCTTTCTCCCTCCCTCCCTCCCTTTCTCCCTCCCTCCCTCCCTTTCTCCCTCCCTCCCTCCCTTTCTCCCTCCCTCCCTCCCTTTCTCCCTCCCTCCCTTTCTCCCTCCCTCCCTCCCTCCCTCCTCCCTCCTTCTCTCCCTCCCTCCCTCCCTCCCTCCTCTCTCCCTCCCTCCCTCCCTCTCTCCCTCCCTCCCTCCCTTTCTCCCTCCCTCCCTCCCTCCTCCCTCCCTCCCTCCCTCCCTTTCTCCCTCCCTCCCTCCCTCCCTCCCTCCCTCCCTCCCTCCCTCCCTCCCTCCCTCCCTCCCTCCCTCCCTCCCTCCCTTTCTCCCTCCCTCCCTCCCTCCCTCTCTCCCTCCCTCCCTCCCTCCCTCCCTCCCTCCCTCCCTCCCTCCCTCACTCCCTCCCTCCCTCCCTCCCTCCCTCCCTCCCTCCCTCCCATCCCTCCCTCCCTCCCTCCCTCCCTCCCTCCCTCCCTCCCTCCCTCCCTCCCTCCCTCCCTCCCTCCCTCCCTCCCTCTCCCTTCCTTCTCCGCTCCCTCCTTCCCTCCTATTTCTCCCCTTATCCATCCTCCCATCTCCATCCCTTCTTAATTTTTCCCCTGTTTCTCATTCAATGCTGCTCCAGCCCCATTCTTTCACATATGCTCTCACACACACACTCCTTTCATCTCCTCTCTCACTCCCCTCTACCCACTGTTCTTGTCCTGCTCTCGCATCTACCTGTCCCACAGTTGTGCACCCGCCCCACTCACTCCCCCCTATCCCACCCCCCAAAAATCTCCCAAACCCCCCTCCTCTATCGCTCCAATCAGGTGGTGCCAGCGCATCTGCCCTGTGCAGGCCACGTGCCCAACCACGAAGCGCCACCTGTCAACCACTGTTTGTCGTTTGCTGACCAATCACTTTGCAGCAGCATCGCCAGCAAAACCAGCAGGAACATCATCACCAACACCAACACCCACACCAGCAGCAGCAGCAGGAGGGGGAGCAGAAGTGGGAGTGGAGGAGCCACGCTCGAATGGTTCTGAGACAGCAGCAGAACCCCCAGCAGCACCACAGCAGCTTCTACCTCCCATACAGGTATTGTTTCAGACCTGACAAATAACAATTACTCATTTTCTGTGTGAGATGATCCTTCTGTTGATTTACCCTTGTTTTGGCCGACCCAAAGGAAGAAAGTAACAGTGGGAAATCGTTCTGATAGCGGAAGGGTAACACGTATATGTAGCCAACTCTTTGGAGTTGACTTTTGAGTCGACTCTAAAGTCAACTCGGAACGGTAACACTTATATGTAGCCAACTCTTTGGAGCTAGCTAATCAAGCTTTCCCCCCGTCCTCTCCAGTTTGCAGTTGCGTTTAAGAAACGAGGGGCAGAGGATTCAGGCGCTGCAGCCAAAGAGACGGCCAAGAAAGAGAAGGAGAAGGCAGAGAGACAGAGAGAAGGAAATGCGGGAGAGGAGGAGGAGGAGAGGGGGGAAGGGGAGGAGGATGTTGAGTTGAGTCGTGATGTTGTGATTAGGACTGTGGCTGATGCCGTGAAGGAAGCTTCTGGGAAGCGAGGTGCTGCGGCTAACTTGACTAACCCAGAGGTAAGACATAAACAGTAAAAAAACGAAGTGTTGATTATCTGGACCAACTGTCGAGTGCCTTGAGTAGAAAAATGCCTTTTTGTGGGGCTCCTCGGTTCCAGCTAAGAAGTGATCTTACCTGCACAGCTCTCATATCCAAAGGGTATGTTCGTCGTCTGTCTTCCATGTCTAGAAGTTATCCACTTCGTATGCTTTCTAAACTGGGGAGCCCAACCCTCACCAACCACCAACATATTTCTTTCTTCCTTCATTTCATTCCTTCTACTTTTCTTTCCCTTTTCATTCCATCTTTTCTCTATTTCCTTCCTTCCTTTCTTTCACAGTTTGCAGTGGTGGTTGAGATTGTTCCACTCGCACGGGGTCCTCCTTTCTGTGCCGTCTCCATTCTTCCGCGCTCGATGCTCGATACGAAGCCGCGATTGGCGGTGAAAACAGTTGCAGCTAGCACGACAGGTGGAGCCGAGAATGCCAGGGGTAATACAGAGACTGCGAAATCTAATGTAGAGAATGGTGAGAAGATTTCAAAAGGAAAGAAGGGTAAAGGAGGCCGGCGCCAGGGAAAGAGGAGGCGGGGTTGACATTGCTCGTTTCATTCATGTTGACCAGTTTTTTAGTTAGTGGATTGTTCTTCCCTTGCAAGCAATCGAAGCTTACGAGGAATAGTGTGTCTAAAACGGAAACTTTGAGCTGTCAGGACTTCGTTCGCACGATTGGCCCCGTTCAGGTGATTGCTTCCTCTCAGCTGATTGGTCAATTGCCTCGTAGCAGTCCACTTCACCACGATCAATACACGTCTCCTGTCTGCCGCCAATCAAATCAGCTTGTCGCAAGCGTTTCTGATAATTCTGTCAGCCTGCCCCATCTCGAAGCGCGGATGCTGCACAGAACGCAAAACGGCCTTGGTGATCCAATGTGCTGCAAAAAGTCTGTCGATGATGATCTAACGGGTCACATTCACCGAAGGTCTCCGTTTGAGGTCTGCACTTCCATCCGTCCGTCGGCCCCAGCAGTCATTTCACTTATTTTCGTCCGTCGATGTGACTCAGCACTGCTCGACCTCGCACCCAGCCACCACCACAAGTCGAGATGCGCGCCTTGCGACAGGATTGGTTGGATGCGGCTTGTTCTACAGCACTTCTCCTTGTTTCTTCCGCTGCTTTCTCATCCTTGGAGGGCTTGGAACGTGATTTGCGAAAGGTGTAAGCGAGCAGAAAGAAGAACACCGGCGAAAGTCGTTACCGGCAAGTCCAATTTCGAGGGCATCTGTAACCGGTGCAGCAGGTTTCAAAAACTCTTCGTCAAACAGTGTTGCTTCTCCCTTTCTCCTTCGCTCAACCACTTCTGGTGCTCCCATTCACTCGTCCTTGTCGCATAGCTTGCTCGCTTGCTCGCTTGCTCGCTTTGCTCGCATTCCCCCTCCGTGCACCCTAAGTTATTAATCGGCTCTCGAGAGGCAGCTGGCAGGATGACAGCCAGACAACGGGATGTTTCTGAAAAAAAACGGAGACGGTAAAGCGAGGTGGACTTGTGAGGGGGTCCAAAAGTCAACCGGAGAAATTTGGACAGACTGATAAAGTGGCGAACTGACGGCGCTCTTAAGCGAGAAATGGAGCCTCAAACATCGCAGATACCTTCGTGGGTCCGCCAAGGCGCGCGCGATCCCCGCTCGCCGACTCACGCGCAGAACCGCGGGAGGTTCGGCGCCAGCCCCCGCCACCACCCACGCAGGCGCGGGGGCAGCGCGGCAACTCCTAGGTTCTTGAACAGCCCCCGAAGCGCCGCAACTGACGGCAGCTTTAGGATAGATGCCGCCAGTGCAAGCGGCAGCAGCCGCAGTAGCAGTAACAGCAGTAGTAGTAGCAGTAGCAACGGGGCTCCCCACGGGACCTTAGCCCAACCCAACCACCCGCAGCCACGTCAGCAGCCAGAACATCCACGTCAGCATCACCTCCGCCATCATTACGTCCCGCCGGTCGAGACGCCTTCCCACCGCGCGGCTCGCGCGGCCGCCTGGGCGGCAAGGGATCGCAGCAGAGCGCGGCCACGTCAGCAGGGGGAAAGGCGGGTTTCTGCGGAGCGGGGGGACTGGGGCCAGGGACATGGCCGAGAGCCGATTGGCGGAAACTCCGCGGAGCTTCCCCGGGGGCTTTCCGCGGGTCACTCCGCTTCCGCTGCTTCGTCCAAAGGCGCAGTTGGCGCAGGTGACGCGGTTTCTCGTAGTTCCGCTCCATTAGACGCGCAAGAGCAGGCTCGGGTCGAAGCTGAGGTTCGGCAGATTGTCCACCACGCCGAGGCGAAGGCTCGACAGCAGCAGCAGCAGAAGCAATTGGTGCCACGTCAGCTACTCCAGCTGGGACCGCGGGGTGGGATTGGGCGGAGCGAACAGCGCCATGCCACGTGGATCTTCCCAGGCCACGGCACCGCGCCTCGGGCCATTTTCCGCCAAAACGCCGCCGCACTTTCCCACGGATTGCGCAACGGACTGCAGCAGCGCTTCCGCCAGCTTTCCCCTTTCCCCCTCGCGACCCGCTTCCGCGACCCGTTCGAAGCGCTGAAGCGCAGCGTTCTCGAGGCGCCGTCAGAGGCGCAAAAGGCGGTGCGAGCCGCCGTGAAACGCGGGGAAGAGAGGGTCAACTCGGCGCGCTTAGGAGCCGTGATGGTGGTGCTCGGGCTGTGGGAGGTGGCTCGGAACAAGGTGGCGCAGGCTCGGCAGCGGCACCAGGTTCGGAGCCAGGTTCGGGTGTGGGGCCAGAGGCTCGGCAGGGAGGCGCCAGTTGCGGCGAAATGGGCGATGACGAGCGGATGGGGGGAAACGGGGGACGCGCGAGGGGGCGGAGAGGGGGGAGCGGGGGAAGGGATGGGGGAACGAGTTTCGGGAGGGGGAGGCGAGTCTTTCTGGGGAGGTAACGGCGAGGCATTAGGTAGACCTACCCCAGATATACCTTCCCCTGACGCGTTTGGCCTTGGCATTGTAAGGGGGCTCTTGGGAAGTGGTGTTTTGGGATGGCCACGGCAGCGAGATGAAGCAGCGTATAGCGTGGAAGCTTATAAAGAGGATGGGGCCTGGCAGCAGCGGGAGGCGATACTCCTGGGCCAGTCTCAGGCGCTATGGCGTCAGGTGGCGTCTCTGTTGAACCCACCTGGCTCTGTTGCAGAAACACCTGAGCGGCTGGATCCCATGGCACCTGAAGCTCCCTCCGTTATTGATCCCCATTCCCAGAGGAAGGGGAATATGAGCGCGGGCGCGCCCCACGTGCAGGTGCATTCCCCCCTCCGCCACTCCCCCGCCCTTCCCCCCAGCTCCCCCCATCCTCCCCTTCCCCCCCAACCCCCCCGCGCCCTGCTTGACCCCTGGGCGGCGCTGCAAATCGCGGAGGAACAGTTCGGAGCGCAGGTGGGCGGCAGGGCGGCTTCAGGAGGTCTCAACAGAAGCAGCAGCAACAGCAGTAACGGCAATAGCAGGGGCAGTAGCAGCAGCAACGGCGGCAGAAACGGCAGCAGCAGCGGTGGCAGCGGCAAGAACAGTGGTGGTGATGGTGGTGTGGCAAAAGCAGCAGCTACTGAAGCGGTTCAGGAGGAAGGGGAGGAGGAAGCTTCCGGGTTGGTGTCTGCCTTGCTGACTCAGGCCGTTCACTCTTTTCTACGGTCCCAGGTCAGCTCCCTAGCCCTCAGGTGCACTTCCAGGTGAATTTTCAGCTTTGTTCCTCGCCTCCCCTCCTCCTAAACACAATTCTTCGCAATGCCTCGCGCCTCCATCACCATGCATATGCCATTAGGCTGAGAGAGAGAAAAACACACACACACACACACACACACACACACACACACACACACACACACACACACACACACACACACACACACACACACACACACACACACACACACACACACACACACACACACAAAAGAAAACTAGCTATCCACATGGCTTGATGCTACGTACTTTGCAAGCTTGGCTTGATGCCAACCAGCTTTCTCGATTCCCACGTGTAGAGAGGGTCAATCAAGCCCCATTTAGAGGCCATGCTTCAATACGTGGCAGCAATTTACTTGCTGAAGGTGCTTGGCTTGATGCCAACCAGCTTTCTCGATTCCCACGTGTAGAGAGGGTGTTTTTGAGACGTCTAAAAATCGCTTTCTCGATTTCCCTGCTCCTCTTGTTTTCCCGCCCTTCAGCTCGACTCGTGTGGCGATCTGAGAATCAAGGTGGCCGCTACAGGACAAGACCTGCTCTCTGGGCGGCTGGCTGGCGTGTCGGTGTCGGCCCGGGCGGCCGAGTACAAGGGTTTGTCCGTTTCTGATGTGGATATGGCTGCTTCCTCCGTCCGCTTTGGCAAGAATTGGGGACTCGCTCCCAAGTGAGTGAGAGAGTGAGAGAGAGTGAGACATGAGGTATCCACACTCACTCACTCGTACACACACACACACACACACACACACACACACACACACACAAGAATTGGGGACTCGCACCCAGGTGAGAGAGAGAGTGGGGCATGGGGTATCCACACCCACACCCACACCCCCCTCCCCCACACACACGCGCGCGCGCGCTGCTTCTTCTGGCAAGAATTAAAGACTCACTCCCAGGTGAGAGAGAGCGGCATCAATACTCACTCACTCGCAGTTTCCCCTCCCTCCCCTCCCCTCCCCTCCCTCCTCTCCCCTCCCTCCCCTCCCTCCCCTCCCCCCTTCCCTTCCCTTCCCTTCCCCTCCCTCATGGCAGCGTTTTCAACTCGCACTTCCCTGCCTTTCCCGCTTCCCCTGCCAATTCTTCCCTCCTAACCTAACCCCTCCCCATCCCTGCCCGCTCGTAGTTCTTCTCTCCCCTCGTCTCCTTCCTTTCCTCCCACAACCCTCGCAAAACCCTCGCTTTCCTCCCCCTCCTAAATGCCTCCCCCTCCCTTCCCTTCCCTTCCCTTCCCTTCCCTTCCCTTCCCTTCCCTTCCCTTCCCTTCCCTTCCCTTCCCTTCCCCCCTTCAGTTTCACCGACTCGCACTTTCCACTGCGCGCCTTTCTCTCCCCTTCCAAAACCCTGCCAGCCTTTCATGTTTCCCTCTCCCCTTCCCCCTCCCCCTCCTCCTCCCCCTCCCCTATTCCCTCTCCCTAATTCCCGCCTCCCTTTCCCCCTTTCAGTTTCACCGACTCACACTTCCCAGTGCGCGCCTTTCTATCCATGAGCCCTGACGACTTCAACAGGAGGTGAGTCAGCAACTTATGTATTATAGGAGGTGAGTCTGTTTCTTAGAGCATGAAGGAGGGCATTGCGGAGGGCTTTTCCGGGAATCAGATAGGAGGTGAGTCGCTTTGCCCGACTCGCACTTGCCAGTGCGCCCATTTCTCTTCATAAGCCTTGAAGATTGAGGTGGTTTTTGAGGCGCCTTTTCAGGCGATTTTTTAGGCGCCTCAAAAAACTTGAGGATTGAGATGGCTTTTGAGGCGCCTCAAAAACCACCTCTTTCCAGAGCGCGCCTTTCTCTTCATGAACCTTGAAGATTTTTTAGGCGATTTTTAAGGCGCCTTTTCAGGCCATTTTTGAGGCCATTCTTTAGGCGCCTTTTGAGGCAATTTTTTGAGGCGCCTCAAAGATTTATGAACCCTCTGCTTTTGAGTAGTTGACTCAAATGCACCTAATTCACACCAGGGCCCGCCATCAAATGCCCACCAGGGCCCGCCATCAAATGCCCACCAGGGCCCGCCATCAAATGCCCACCAGGGCCCGCCATCAAATGCCCACCAGGGCCCGCCATCAAATGCCCACCAGGGCCCGCCATCAAATGCCCACCAGGGCCCGCCATCAAATGCCCACCAGGGCCCGCCATCAAATGCCCACCAGGGCCCGCCATCAAATGCCCACCAGGGCCCGCCATCCAGGCGACTTTGCTTTTGAGTCGACTCAAATGCACTCTCAAAAGCCCCCTCTTTCCAGTTCGCCCCTTTCTCTTCATGAACCTTGAAGATTTGAAAAGGAGGTGGGTCAGCGTCAACTGTTCAACAGGAGGTGGGTCGGTTTCTTGTAGCGACCCGGTGGAGGGTAATTTAGAGTGTCGGGATTTTCAATCCATGAGGCCTGGCCCGTAAGACGGTTTTTTTAGGCGCCTAAAAAATAGCCCATATCCCTCTCGGTGAGGACCACTTCAGCAGGAGGTGAGCAACGCAATTACAGAGCTGAACGTGAGTCGAATTTTATGATTGCTCTGTATTTGCGTTGGTCATCAAACACAGGTTTCGCAGAATCCGATTCAGGATATATAAAGGCATCTGTTTAGGCGCCTCGGAAAACAGAAACAGGCTTCGCGGCATAAAAAATTGTTGTAGGACATGAGAAGCACGCGCGCTAGTCCAGTTTGCCTTTTGAGGCGCCTCAAAAGTAGGACATGAGAAGCACGCGCGCTAGTCCAGTTTGTTGCACTTTCCTGGTGTCCTTCCCGTGCCCTTTCTTCAGCCTTGCCCCTATGAACCTCAGGACCCTTTTTTCTTCCTGCCCCTCTAATCTTTCTTTCGATTGGTCGGCTACCAGCCAATCCGGGCCCTTTAAGCCACTTCTGCTCCTCATTCTCCAAGCTTTGACGCCCACTCTCCCCCTCCCTCCCCCATTTCCTCCTTACCCCAGCCCAAACCCTCCCCACTTGCCGTCTCAAAGCCCTCTACCCCTCCCCCGCCCCTCACTCTCACTTCCCCATCTCATCTCACTCCATCCTCCCCCTTCTCTCCCCTCACTCCCCTTATCCCCATCCCCTCCCCTCTTTCCCCCATCCCCCTTCCCCCCTCTCTCTTCCCTTTCCCCCCATGCAGCTGAGGAGCCCTCTCCTCTTCCCCCTCCGCTCACTCCCACTCCCCCATCACAATCCATCTTCCCCCCGTTGCTCCCCCCCTCGCCCTTTTTCCCCAACCCTCTCCCCCATCTCCCCTCTCCCCCCGTGCAGCCTAAGGAGCCCTCTCCTCTTCCCCCTTCTCTTCCCTCTCCTCTCACGCCCACTCCCACCTCTCACTCAATCTTCTTCTTCTCTCTCTCCTCATCGTCCCCTCCCCCCACCCCCCTCTCTCTCCCCTTATCCCCCGTGCAGCCTAAGGAGCCCTCTCCTCTTCCCTCTTCTCCGCTCTGTCTTCTCATTGGACGACCGCCAGCCAATCCCAGCCCTCCACGTGTCACTTGGTGACGGATTCTTGGAGTTCGTAGCAGCCAATCAGGATCCAAGATTTGGCCAGAATCAGAATCTGATCTCCAGTCTGCCGCTCAATAGCGCCAATAGCAAATCTGCCCTTCCCCCATACCCTCCCTCCCCTTCCTCCTCTCACTCCCCCTCTCTTCCCCTCAAACCCCCACACTCCACTACCCTTTCCTCCTCTTCAAACCCTAACCTTCTAAACCCTCTTAGAACCTCGTATGCACACTCCCTCAACTCTCCCCACGCTCCCCCTTCCCCCCACTTTCCCTCCGCCTATAGCCGCACTCCCCGTTTCACCCCCTCCCCCCGCTTTACCCCCTCCCCCCGATTCACCCCTCGATTCACCCCCACAGCTCGCCTCAGTTCCCCCCACTCCTCCTCCCACCACCACTCCCCCTACTACTCCCCCCAATTCTCCTCCCCCCGCCTATCCGTCCGCTATTCCTCCCCTTTCACCTCCTCCCCCACTTCCTCCTTCCAACCCTCCCTAGACCTCCCTCTCCTCCCCATTCCCCCTCTGCTGCCCAACCCACTGTCACTGTTGAGATTCTCTGCCGCCCAGATCAGATTCCCTCAGCCTGTGCTGGATACTGTCGGGCGGCTGCAGCTCCTGAAGCTGCCCTTTCTGTTCCCTTCCCACTCCTCTCAAACCTCGGACACTACACCATCCTCCACCCGTCCCTCACCCTCGCTTCCTCACTCTCCCTCACTCTCCTCCTCTCCCTCCTCCTCTCCCTCCTCTTCCCCTCTCTCCTCCTCCTCCTCCCCCCCTCCCTCCCCTCGCTCCTCTCGCCTCTCTTCCTCTCTAGCCCGCCGCCTCCGTCCCCTCCGCATCCCCCACCCCAACAACCCAGTTGCAAACCCTCCCACCGCTCACAACCACACTCTGCAAACTTCTGCGGAATCTCCTGCTGCTGCTACACCAGCAGCGTTATCCCCCTACGCCTGGAAGGCCCCTGGCACGCTGTTCTTTGCTAGCTCAGTGCTCTTCCCCTCCTCGCCAAGCCTGGGACTGGGGAGACGGCACAGACAAAAGCAGCAACAGCAAATCAATCAGCAGCAGCAGCAGCAAGGGCAGGAGGCAGTGCTGCAGCAAAGGCAGCAGCAGCAAGGGCAAGGGCAAGGATCGGTCCCTCAAGTCCTTGACACCCCTACTTCCCCCTCAACACCCCCCATCTCTCTCATCCCTCCTCGCGAGTTCTGGTCTAGAGAAACCTTCTGGATTTCAGGTCAGAGGAAGTGGATGGAGCAGCAACAGCAGCAGCAACAGCAGAAGCAGCAGCAGCAGCAGCAGCAGCAGCAGCAGCAGCTAAGCGGAGAGGAAATGGGTGTTTCTGGCCCTGGGGCTGGTTGGCTGTCCCTATCTAAGCGTTTGCTGGGAGCTGCATCGCGGGAAGCCTTGGGAACTCCGGCCGGTGTGGCGCTGGATGCTGAAACTTCAGAGAACAGTACACTCGCGTCTCTACAGTCCAATAATTCGTTATCATCAAGCTCGGATGCGATTCTTCCAGATGCGAGTTTATCCGGACGAGGGGCTGGTGCGGATGTGACTATAGGGGAGGGCGGTATAGGAGAAGTGGCAGAAGAGGAGTCGTCATATGGGGGTCCTTTGCCTGTTGCAGTGCGCCTTGCAGTTAGTGAGGACGGTCGACGACTCTCTGTAAGCAAATTCGGTAGTGAGTGCCTAGTTGCATGTGCGAGGGACGATATAGGTAAGAAGCAAGGAAAGGGTAGAGGCGGAAATGGTCGTCGGGGGGTTCAGGGAAGAGAGAAAGGGCAAAAAGGGAAGCGAGAAAGCGAGAAGGAGAATGACACTGTTGAGCATAGCTCTTGTGTGGAGGAGGTAGAGGAGATTGATTTAGGACCCGGGACATTTCTCACTAGGCTAGATATATCACCTAACGGGATATTTCTGGCTGGTAGATTTCTACTGACCTCTTAGTTAACTTGTGTTTATGTACCATCCGTATTCGTGCCCTCCATCGTCTGCACGAAGTCTTATAATTGTTGAGCAGCCTTGTTTAGCGAGGAAGGTATCTTTCTGCTTTACAATTCCGAGAAACATCAACGACGCGTCCGATTGGTCGAGAAAACGGCGGGAAAGGGCTTGTCAGGGGAGGTGAGGCAACCGGACGGCATTATGCAGGAGGAGAAATCTGGGGTCGAGAAACACGGAGACAATAAAAGTGGAGCCTGCCGAATCGCGGTTCCCGCTGAGTCTGACGCGGCTCTGTAAGGTTCGAAAGGAATAATCTGGGACGCAGTGCGGTTGCTGGTCCATCATACCCTCTCAAGCCTCGACCCTTGAGATTGCCATATCGGTTCTTCTTGAACTGCCTCTTCCCGTCCGCAAGTGGAAACTAAATATGAAACGATTTTCCGAGCACTATCAATCCGTAGGTGGCACTTATGGACTAATTGACCAGGGAGTCTGTTGACTTAGGGACGAAAAGTTAGGAACCTTTGGGCCTAGTGACAGTTTATTGATCGAGGGGCGACGCTTAGTCACGTCCGTGGCTCGCGGGATCTGCGAGTTCCAGTGCGATATTTCAGCAATCGCTCGTCGGCTCGTAGGCTCCTTAGGAGAAGTCGCAGGGAGTGAAAGTAGCCGTGGTGATTAGGCCTCTGTTTCCTTTTGAAATCAGTGAACTAATCGATGACCCTTGGCTTTTATGAAGAAGCTGTCAGGCAGCGGCACAGCGGGATTTCGCAAACGACTGGCTTGGATTTTCTGCCAGAATAGTGAGCAGCAGCGGTAGAATGGTATATTCTCAACGATGTAACTGTTTCTTGTAATTTAGCACACACATTTGCGTGCTGACGCTGTTTCTATTCGACTGCGCGTCTATATCTTCAGCGGTGACTTCTGTGCGTCTCCGCACAAGAAGTCACGTCCTTTTTACGCCTCTCCAGCACACTATCGACGCGGCTTTAAACGATAGTGCGAGTGTATCTTAACAGCATCTGGAATTTAATATCCAGCGCCAAATCATGGATTGGTCGGATCGCGGATCCGATACGCGTCCTCTCTTCGCCACCTCGTCGCCTCGCAGCCCGAAGCGCTTCGGTGCTTTCTCTCGTTCCAGATCCTCGAAGGAGCGAGAGAGGTCGCGAATCCGTCGGTCAGCGTATCGGTTCGACGGCCTGGGCTCGTTTGAGCGGTTGGATTGGGACCGGCTGAAGGAATTCGAGAGGGGACGGTTGCTGAGGAGGCAGCATACTCCGTCGCAACTACAGCAGGCGACGACGATTCAGTTGCAACAGCAGATTCACCCCCACCACCAGCACCACCACCAGCAGGTGCAATTCCAGATATCCCCCCGAGAATCAGACGCAGCGCGCTCGCCGCCGCCTGCGGACAATCCTCCCCGTCCGATTTCCTGCCGAACAGACTCAGCCGGCTCATTGGACGCCGCAACGGGATTTTATCTCCCCCACCCCGCGCTCGCCGTCCCCGCGGCTGTAGCAGACCTTGCCGCGGGCGTTGCTTCCGCGGGAGTAACTCCCTCCGGTACAGGCGCCGCCGCGGGGCTCCTGACGCAGCCAGGTGGCGAGTTCTCGTGGTTCCACGTGGAGATCCCGCGATCCTGCCCGTCGCTCTCCGCCGCGGCTCGCCAGCTCATCACGCATCTGCACCCTCCGCTGCAGCTGCAGGAGATCACGACGCTTCTATCCAACGGTCCATATTGCGGCACGCTCGGCGGCGCGCTGTTCGTGCGGATCAATTCCCCAGGACCCATGGACAGCCCGTACACTTTTAAGATCGCGGCGCGGATCACGCCGTTTGGAATAGTAAGCGTCGCGTTGGGGCCAGTGCCGCGTTTAGAGCTGCAAAGAGAGCCAGGAGGACTGTTAGGGTCGGAGGTTGGAGTAGGGTTGGCGGGGCTGGTGGCTAGGTTGCGCGACGATGCTGCCTCGGCTGGAGGGGTGAGCAGTGTGGGTTCCAGTGGTGCTGCTGCCGCTGGCGCTGCCGCTGGTGCTGCTGCTGGTGTTGCCGCCGGTGCTGCTGCTGGTGCCGCCGTTGGTGCTGCTGGTTTTGGCAGTAGTCTTGGTGGCACGGACAGAGGGACAGACGGAGCTACTGTTTTGAGGAGACGGTCGCCGAATGCGTCATTCCGGGCTATTAACGAGGGCGAAGCAGAAACCGCTGCGCTTTCCGTTCTCGTTAAAGGTACCAGCGCTACAGTCACGCCCATTACCAGCACGCCTGGCAGCCCATCCGACACACCCCGACCTCTCAAAATCAGCGTAGGGGCAGGATCATCCTCGTTAGAGGCTTCCGCGATAGCAGCAGCAGTGGCAGACGGGATGGGGACTACAGGAACTAGTGGAGCAGGAGGAGCAACGGTAAGAATTGAGACTGCAGCCGCTTCTTTCAGACAGCCACACTCGGAGATAGAAGAGTGCGTGACAATAGAGGGGGGTTCGCTTTCCTCTGGCATTATAGAGGGGGGTTTGCCTGTCTCCGGTGCAGGCGTGAGTTATGTGAAAAGCGAGGGCAATTTGGACCGAAGGGGGCTGTTGCAGGGGCTGGGCAGCAGAAGCTTCGGATTGGGCAGTAGAGGCTATTCTAGTGATGCTGGTGGGGGAGGAGTCAGATGGGGGGCTAGTGCAGGTTTTTCTGGTGCAGGCGCGTCTGGGGTGGGTTCTGCTGGGGGAGGTGCATCTGGGGACGCGGGTGGGGTTGGGGGGAAGCGGAGTGGCGGGGTTTTGGCGCGAGTGGGGAAGGTTTTGGAGGCGATGACGCCGCGGAGGAGGGAGGTGCGGGAGGAGCAGGCGGAGGCGCACACGACCATCGATGTTGATGATGCGGTGAGTGCCCCTTGCAGTGCATGTGGTTGTGCCTTACTATTTCGGAAGGGTGTTGAGAGCGGTGACGGGATGAGGGAGGAGCAGGCGGAGGCGCACACGACCATCGATGTTGACGATGCGGTGAGTGCCTTGTGCTATGCGGAGTATGTTGTGTGGCAGCGCGTGTTGATCTTTCACGTGGGGAAAGTATGGTAGTGGGTGGTGCCCTATCATGCTGGGAAGGTGCTGGGCTGGGGGCGATGGCGCCGTGGAGAAAGGAGGCGAGGGAGGAGCAGGCGGAGGCGCACACGACCATTGATGTTGACGATGCAGTGAGTGCCCCGTCAATGCAGTGAGTGCCCCGTCAATGCAGTGAGTGTCTCTTGCAGTGCGTGCGGCAGTGCGTGTGGCAGTGCATGTGGCAGTGCACCTGGCAGTGCATCATGCACCACTTACACTTTGTCTTCCCTTCTGTCTCGCCTGTTCTCCTCCAGGAGTTGGAAGAGCCACCCAGAGAACGCTGAATGCCTTATCTCAGTGACTGGGTTTGTGCTGCTGTTTAGCATGCCCCACCTCTCACCCTTGCATTCCCGCATGTATCACTTGAAGAACTCTTGCAGAAGATCCAAATAGAGAACGCCGAGTGTCTGATCCCTGTGACCGTGTTTGGGCTGCTTTGATACCTGCTCGTGCTCTTACCCTTTACCTGTTCTTGTGTCTCACCTGCCCCCTGTGTTCCTCAGGAGCTAGAGGAGCTGCTGCGAAAGGGCCACCCGGAGAATGCGGAGTGCTTGATTCCAGTGACGGTGTTTGGGCTGCTGCGGTGTGTTACATGCCCCACCTCTTACCCTTTGCCTTCCCTTGTGTCTCTCACCTGCTCTCCTCCAGGAGCTAGAGGAGCTGCTGCGAAAGAGCCACCCGGAGAACTACGTTGGCAGATACGCCTTGGGCAGGGTTGCGTACCACGTATATACGCTTGCGTATGTACGTGGTACGCTAATACTCTCGTATTTCTTGAAAATACGCCCGGGCAGCCCGCCGAAAAAAAAATCGAAATTGAAAAATTTCGCGAAGGTTTTGCTACTTCGCGACATGTTACCGCGAAGTCGCACATCGCCCAACCCACTTCTGAAATTCAAATTTCGAGCTCCAAACCTCCCACCACCCCAACCACACACCACCCCACCAAACCTCTCATCTCCAACCAACCCTCTCAAATGTTGTTCAGCAACTCGTCTGCTCATATAATGGATGACGAATTCCTTTGTGTCATTCAGTTTCCGTGTTCGTTTTTCCTCATGGCGTCTAACTCCACCCCTCCTGCTGCGACGAGCAATGTTGCCTCTGTTCACTGCGGGCAGGGGTGGTGTTGGAAAAGCCCCGCAAGGAACTCGGCTGTGGGGAAGCTAGCTAGAGGGTGGGGTGGGGATGTATGGGGTGGGGAGTAGCCCCAAAGATGTATTTCTGGATTTTTATGAAATTAAATAATGACATGTGTTTTTGGGAAACATAACCCCCTCCCTGAGACAGGCCCTGCCCGGGAAAAAAGTTTTACCTGCCCGCCCAGCGTATTTTTACGTATCACCAGTACGCCACCCCTGGCGTACCGCGTATATACCCAGCGTATATACCCAGCGTATAATACGCTAGCGTATTATACGTGATACTCGTATCTGCCAACGTAGCCGGAGAACGCCGAGTGCTTGATCCCAGTGACAGTGTTTGGGCTGCTGCAGCACATTGTGGAGACGCACATGGAGCACCTGGGGAGCACTGAATGACCGTGTTTGAGCATGCCCCTCCTCTTACCCTTGCCTCTCCTCGTTTGTCGCCTGCTTTCCCCCCAGGAGTTGGAAGAGCTCCTGAGGAAAAGCCACCCGGAGAATGCTGAATGCCTGATCCCAGTGACAGTGTTTGGGCTGCTGCAACACATTGTGGAGACGCACATGGAGCACCTGGAGGATGTGGTGGTGGAGGTGGAATGCATGCTGGACCAGCATGAAAGAGACCTGGATGAAGGTGAGTATATGATACAGTGCAGTACAATACGGTACAGTATGGTACATCTGTGAAGAGTGTGTGAGTGTTTGGGCTGCTACAGCACATCGTTGAGATGCACATGGAGCATCTGGAGGATGTGGTGGTGGAGGTGGAGTGTATGCTGGATCAACACGAGAGGGACTTAGACGAAGGTGAGTTGCGATATAGTATGGTACAGTGCGGTACAATACGGTACAGTGTGGTACAGCTGTGAAGAGCATGTGAGTGTTTGGGTTGCTGCAACACATCGTGGAGACGCACATGGAGCACTTAGAGGATGTGGTGGTGGAGGTGGAGTGTATGCCGGACCAACACGAGAGGGACCTGGATGAAGGTAGCGTATTCTCCATTCCCTATTGCGCGCACACATGCAAACGCACACACACACACGCACACTGAGACGCACATGGAGCATTTGGGGGATGTGGTGGTGGAGGTGGGGTGCATGCTGGATCAGCATGAGAGGGACCTGGATGAAGGTGGGATAGCGTATGCCCTTTTCCCTCTTCCCCCGTCTTGATAACCCTCTTCCCCTTATTTATATCCCACCTGGCTTGGGCATAGAACCTTCCCCAGGTTGCACCTGGACCTGCAGGGAGTGCTGCAGTGTTCCCCCTGCTTGTGTTGGATGGTGATCTCTGTATGCAATCCCCAGGCTGACAGACACGCCCCTCCATTCCTCTCTGTGTGCCGCCCTCAGGGTCTGCCCGTCGGCTTCAGTTACTCGAAGATAGGACCTTCCCCAGGTTGCACCTGGACCTGCAGGGAGTGCTGCCCGGTTCTCCCTGCTTGTTGAACCTCTCTGTGCAATCCCTACCCCACCCAACCCCACCCCTTCGTAATCCCCTCTGTATACTCTTTCAGGGTCAGGCCACAGGCTGCAACTACTCAAGGATAGAACCTTCCCCAAGGGGGGCCTGGACCTGCAGAGAGAGCTGCTGTCTTGCGCCTGCTTATTGTATCTGTGTGTGTGATTACGACCCTTTTGAGTCGACTCAAAAGTCAACTTGCAGAGAGAGCTGCTGTCTTGCGCCTGCTTATTGTATCTGTGTGTGTGATTACGACCCGGATTCCCCCCTTTTCCCTGTGTAGCACTCGCAGGCTCTGACCATCGCCTGAGGTTGCTCAAGGATAGAACCTTCCCCAAGCTGCGCCTGGACCTGTAGAGAGTGCTGCAGTCACTGCTTGCTGAATCTCTGTGTGTGATTCTTACCTTGATTCTTTCTTACTCCCGCCTGTCTACATTCTCAGGATCTGATCACCGTCTGACTTTTGAGTCGACTCAAAACTTCTTTCTTTACTCCCGCCTGTCTACATGCTCAGGATCTGATCACCGTCTCCGGTTACTGAAAGACAGAACCTTCCCCAAGCTCCACCTGGACTTGCAGAGAGTGCTGCAGTCGCTGGCTCACGGGGAGGTGGTGCTGCCGAAGCTGAAGGACAGGCTCGTGGCTCGGCACTGGTGCGCCGGACCTGTAGCTTCGGCGGTGCTGGATGGGGCAATGGCTCGGCTGAGGAGAGGCAAGGAGAACGTGGGGTTCCTGACAGCGAGAATCACGGCGCTACAGACGGGGCTGGACCAGTGGCAGTCGGAGCAGATCAACAAGAAGCTTTACTACATCTCCTTCCTCTCCATCGTCTTTCTGCCGCTCTCTATCATCACCGGAGGTAAGAGTGGTGTCAGGAGGTGGGGTGAGGTGGGGTGAATGTGAGAGCCACGGCAGTTGCGATACTAGAAGGTAGGTGGGTGACCAGGTATGAGACGCATCAATTGGGGAATCACGGCTCTCTATTTTCACCGGAGGTGAGAGTGGTGTCAGGAGGTGGGGTGAATGTGAGAGCCTCAGCGCAGCTTCACCTCTTGACTAGTAGCCAGTGTTAAGAATTTCTCTGTCTTTTCCTACTTGCTCTAGCCTAAACCTAAGTGCCGCTGCTCACTGTAAGATATCCGGAGGTGGGGTGAATGTGAGAGCCACGACGCAGCTTCACCTCTTGACTAGTAGCCAGTGTTAAGAATTTCTCTGTCTTTTCCTACTTGCTCTAGCCTAAACCTAAGTGCCGCTGCTCACTGTAAGATATCCGGAGGTGGGGTGAATGTGAGAGCCACGGCGCAGCTTCACCTCGTTTTTGAGACGTCTCGAAAATCAACTTTCTACAGGTAAGAGTGGTGTCAGGAGGTGGGGTGAATGTGAGAGCCTCAGCGCAGCTTCACCTCTTTCACCTCAGTGGTGAGACCCAAATGTCACCCGACTCAGTTTCACCTCTTTCCCTCCTTTCTTTACTCCCCACATTGCCCTCCCTGCCAGCCTTTGGCATGAACGTTTTTTTGTTTTTGTTTTTTTTTAAGAAAAAATATTTATCACATGCTTTTTTGAATTTAGGGTAATATTCTGGAGTATGTTTATCACATGCTTCTTTGAACAATTGGTGAAATATCCTTGTTTCTTTATCATCCGGGTACATAGGGGTAAGATCAGCTCCACCACCAAACCAGCTTCTTGTTGTTTTTATATACCTCGTATTAAAATGTACCGCAGGAACAAGAGGTGAACACATATGTGCTACAAGTGAAATACCAGTAGCAAAAAATTCAGGGTTCTCTGTCGCTCCAGGTATTTGTTTTCTAAATTCCTCGGAGAATATTCCGTGTACTGTGGAAATATTAACTCCAACTTCTTCAAAAACATTACCCCGCATGATAGACAGAACACCGCCACCGCCACCGCCTCTTTCCCAAGTTTTTTTTATAAACTTACCTGCTACTAAATTATGTTCCTTAGCAAAATCAATTTCTATCTGCTCATAAGATTCGCAAATTTGATTGCGGTTTTTTATATAAACTTACCTGCTACTAAATTATGTTCCTTAGCAAAATCAATTTCTATCTGCTCATAAGATTCGCAAATTTGATTGCGCAGTTCCTCAAACCATTTTGCTGTGTTTTCTCGTTGATTCGTAGTTTTTCACCGATCATTTTTTATTATTAAAGGCAACTTAGAAGGCCGAATAAAAACCAAATCAAATCTTATGTCCCAACTATTATATTTATCATTATGACTTAAGAATAACTCAGCTGAACTCCTTATCCTATTTTGTTGCAGCAGACCACCGACCCATATGTCACCCGAGGATTCGTCAACACATGGTTTCACCTCTTTCTCCCCCCCCTCCCTCCCTCCCTCCCTCCCTTCCTCCATCCCTCCCTCCCTCCCTCCCTCCCTCCCTCCCTCCCTCCCTCCCTCCCTCCCTCCCTCCCTCCCTCCCTCCCTCCCTGCCAGCCTTTTTGGCATGAACCAGTCCCCTGGGTCCCAACGAAATGTCACTCGAGGGTTTATCAGCGTGATGTGGATCTGCTTCTATGTGGTTATTGCACTGGATGCAGCAAACCATCGACCACCCAAATGTCACCCGAGCTGCCATTCATAACATACCGTTCTCAAAAAACAGTTCTCCCTGTCCCTGCCCTCTTCCTTCCTTCCCTCACCACCAGCCTTTGGCATGAACGTGGGTGGGGTTCCCTGGGTGCAGCAAACCACCAACGACCCAACCGTCACTCGAGGCCTCATAACGCACAGTCTCAACTCATTGCTCCCCCTTTTCCTCCGAATTCCCTCCCCACCAGCCTTTGGCATGAACGTGGGTGGGGTTCCCTGGGTGCAGCAAACCACCAACGACCCAAACGTCACCTCAGGGTTCATCTGGATCTGCGTTTTGCGTCGTGATTGCACTCTGTGCTGCTTTTGCGCTGGGCGGAGTCCCCTGGGCGGAGAGAACCACCGACCAAGAAGAAGCCATTTATATCATACGGTTTGGCTCAATTGCTCCCTGCCCCTTTTTGAGAATTCTCAAAAACCAGTCCCCTGGGCAGAGAGGACCTCCGACCAAGTAGCCATCTATAACATCCAGTTAAGCTCAATTGCTCCCTGCTCCTTTCTTCCCCTTCCCCTCTCCCTCCCTTCCCACCAGCCTTTGGCATGAATGTGGGGGGAGTCCCCTGGGTCCAGCAGACCACCAACGACCCAAACATCACCTCAGGGTTCATCAACGTGATGTGGATCTGCTTTTACGTCGTGATCGCGCTGGGCGCTGCTTTTGCCGCTCCTTCAGTGTATGCGTATGTCCAGGAGCGGTTAGAGGAGCGGAAACGATTAGGGAAGGAGTTGTGGGAGCGGGCACACAAGGTAATGAATGTGTTGAAACTTAGACCGAGAGGAGTAGGGAGGATTGGAGAGGGATATCGCCGGCATGAATCGGATGAGTAGAGCGCATGAAAATTGTATCATTGTGAAAGTTTCCTTTGGCCAACTTGCAAAGGTACGGTAGCATGCTTCATTTCATTTGGGGTAGCATGCTTCATTTCATATGGGTGTAGTACATCGTTCTCGTCCTATATATCAATACATCATAGCATCACATTTGGGTGGGAGGGGGGAGAAATGAAACTACAACTAGAAATGAAAAACGTGGGTGAGGGCGAATGACCTCACGACCCTCTTTTATAGGCAAAAGAGGGTGAGTAGCGCTTCGGCACCACCTTTGCTGTGTTGGCCACGTGCCCCTTTTCACAATACAAGATTTGAGAAAGTGTTACACTTTTATAAATTATAATATTGTGAAAGTGTCCTTAGGCCAACTTGCAAAGGTAGCGTGCTTCATTTCATATGGGTCTTCAAAGGCAGGTGCAGTCTGGGCTGGCGGCAGGCCCTCAGATTCACTTTTAGGGACGTTGATGCATCAGGGTCCCTGTGAAAAAAAGCCTGAATTTTCAGGGTTCCTAAAAATAAAGCCTGAATTTTCAGGTTCCGGAAAACAAAATACTTAATTTTCAATCACATCATGCAATTGTGCAAGAGATTAGCCGTTACGAATATGGTAGCAGAAAGATTTGACCAGGAAACCTTATCAATTGGATACTACTTCGCTAACCACTAAACCAGTTCGTCGAGTCAATAATCAGTAAGTTTTTTTAAGGTTTTATTATCTGGAAAATGTTGGTTGACTTATTGTCTCGGGTGTTTTACAGGAAGGATTCTGAATGTGCATTCAGTGTACACTTCGATAAAAGTCTGAAACATCAGTGTTAGCTATGAAGTAAAGGCTGAAAAAATCAGTGTCACAAAAATCTCAACACTGAAAATTCGGTGTAGGTACACAAAACTAGGCTGAAAATCAGGAATTTCAGGGGAAAAATCCTGATATCGTAGGGCCTGGCTGGCGGTGCCGCTCGATGGAGCGCTGATGAATGGCGAGTGACGGGGCTGTTGATGAATCTTGCAGCTGCGTGGAGAGAGAGATGAGCTGGTCTTGCACAATCGTGACGTACATTTCATTGGCACTGTCGCTGCGCCATCGGCCCATGCGCTTTAAGATCCGATCAGGGACTCCGAGGCTTGCCGCCGCAGTGGCTGCACCTTTGCAAAATGAGTGGGTTCCGATATGCGTGACGTCAAGTCTGGCCTTCTTGCTGGCGACGAGACACCAATTTTTGATCGTGGCGTAGGATGGTGAGTTGTCATCTGGAGTGGCTTGCGCATCTTTCTAAAAAAGTCGGATTAGAGGTCCATGTGGCAGCCTCGTGAGGCCTGCAGTGCGTATGAAGTTGCGTGTGCACCTCACTGGGCAGAATGGGCCCGGAATTGCCGCCACTGGGATCCATACACCCTTCCCTTCCTGATCCGTTTTGGAGTGTGGGATGAGAAGCCACATTGCCTCCTCCTCGAAATGGACGTCGTTCCATTGAAGCGAGACGAGGTCGGAGTAGCGCAGAAACGCTAAAAACATGAGGAGGGGTATCAAGCCTTTCTGGTATTCCGCGGGAATTGACGACTCGAGGTAGGGGCGAGCCATGTCCTGTACTTGATGGAGAGAGATGGGTTCTTTGGTTCGGGCAGAACGGGGGCCAAGCCTTTTGGCAAACTCCCGTACTTGCAGGGTAAATGGGCCGACCGTCTTGCCCGAACCAAAGATTGTGGATGGTGCACGAACATGGCTAATAACGCGCAACAATTATTGCTGGAGCTGAGCCAAAAGTCATGAAATCACACATTGATTATTTTTATTAGATCGCATAATTTACACGCAAAGCAATGATTGGGCTATGAAGCAATCCGAGTCCAGAAAATGCAGAGGTGTGTGAACCTGGCCGAAGGCATTGAGTGCCTTGAGCAAAGGGAATGTGCGCTACCACCGCAGGAGCCCATGATTGTGCGGACGTCGGGAGGAGAGGCCACCATGACGCTCCGGTCCATTGGGGTACTATCAGCGTGAGTTCCGCTTGCGTGCGTTCCGCGTGCCGCAGTGTGGCTAGGATCGGGTGTGGTGGCGAAAAAGCAAAGCATCGTTCGCCCTTCGAAGAGACGGAGAATGCATCTATGGCGAACACACTTGGGTGTGGTAGCTTGGAACAGAAGCGATGGACCTAGTTGTTATGAGCGTTTGCAAAGATGTCAGTCGTGTGGGGACCCCAGCGGCGCTCCAAGAGGCAAAACCATGGTGCATGTAAGGAGTAGTCATCGTGGTCTTGCAACTTGCACAGTTCGTCCGCGTGAGCATTGAGCTCTCTTGGAATCCATTCAATTGCAAGGCGTGTGGCGTTGCCGAGGCAGAACTGGATAATTTCTTGGCACGTCAATGTCAGTTCCGAGTGGAGAGATCCCCCCTTGCGCAATATGAACATGACCGCCTGGTTGTCCACCCTAACGAGAATGTGAGCACCCGCGATCTGGGTTGCGAATGTCTGCAGCACCCATAGCACTTCCTCGAGCTCGCGTCGCGTGCTGGATGTAGTGAGAAGCTCGCTTGGCATGCATGCGCTGGCTTCACATGACGTGCTTGGAAACTTTGTCAGGGTGGCACCCCAGCTGTGTGCGCTCGCGTCGACGTGGATGACGGCATCAAACCGGTGGCTCTGATGGAATGGGGCCCCATTGAAGTGATCGAAGTGCTCTGTCCAGAAGAGCAACT